AGCAAATAAAACGAGTTTAAAAAAAATTGTTTGTAGCGTAAACTCCGAGTTTAAGAGCAGAGTTTAGCGTTAAACTCCAAAATGGCCAATAAACTCGAGTTTATGGCTCAACATTAACGTACTTTTAGTTTTGAAAATTTACTTTAGATCCCNCCAAATTTTATTAAGAAAAGGGGTTGCATTCCCATAAACAGCAAATAAAAGTGGTTTTAAAACGAGTTAAAAAAAAAAAATTGTTTGTAGCGTAAACTTCCGAGTTTAAGAGCAGAATTTAGCGTCAAACTCCAAAATGGCCAATAAACTCGAGTTTATGGCTCAACATTAACGTACTATTAGTTTTGAAAATTTACTTTATATCCTAATCCGGATCAACTGCAATTAACCCCCGATGTAATTTAGAATTAACGAGTCTATCCCTGTATGTTTTACACAATCTATAGCCTGGTTTTCATTAGGTCATATCTGACGTCAAATGTTGTCAAAACAGTGAAAACGGGTTGTCATCTGGTGTCATTTGTGTTTGTTGTCATATATCACCACGCACGATCATATAAAATGACAGCCAGCGAAAACGGCCCTCGCCTCTGATGCTGCAGCATTTGACAACCAAAATTTATTTGCCAACAATTTGATTTCGTTTGCCATGCGAACAGCTGATTCTAGCTGCAATACCGACAGTTTAGCTACAAAAACCAAAAATGCAGATCGATATAACTTTTCACGCTGATTTCAACCTTACCGAAACGGGTTAAACTTCAACTTTCCTATTTTTTATATGATTAATATCTCTGAAACTACTTGACCGATGAGAAAAGTATTGATGCCAATTCAAAGTTAATTTCAATACCTATTTACTATAACCACTTTCACACAAATTTTAGGTAAACACCATTAAAAAAAAAATATGTATACAATTTCGATTTTTACCACTACTTTCGTTAAATTACTTGTACTTTCTAAATAATATATAAATTTCTGTAGCAATTTTCTTCAAAAAAAATGTATGAAAAAATTAATTTTTTCTTTTGTAGTATTTTTGACTTAAAAATATAAATCATCAGAAAAGTTATGTACATCAACTGAAAGAAAAACTAATCATCTTTATTTTGACATCATTAGTTGTTTAATCGGTTATGTAGATATTGATATTTCAAAATATCGCAAAATTTAACTTAGCCTCCTATATCTTCTTAATTTTTTACTTGCGCTAAATAATTTTGGTAAGGTTGAAATCAGCATGAAGAGTTGTATCCAGTTGCATTTCTGGGTTTTCTATAGCTAAAAGGTCGGTATTCTACACTTTTTGTAAAAATTTAACTCCACATTTGACATCAGTAATGACAACGGGATGTCAATCATCTGACACCGAAATTTGACGACAGTCTTTGACATGCATTGCGGTATCACCACTTGGTCAGTTTTTAAAGTGTAATGAAAGCGCATTTGACACCAAATGAACTGCTGTCAGATGAAGGCAGTCTTTGATGTCAGGGATTTTGACCTAATGAAAACCAGCCTCTATGTATGTCTGCTGTAAAATGTATGCTGTAAAATGATTGAATCAGTAGGATCTTACAAATGTACCTTCTTTTTTCAAGCTGTATTAAACAAGGTGTGATTGACAACTCAGGTCGGCTCTCTTTTAAGGTACTGTTATGCCAAAAATATAAACAAACGATTCAAAATTCATGAAATTTTTTTTTCAATTTGACTTTATAGGATCTTTCTTCTCATGATACATAAAAGAAGGTAGTTTCATTTAATGGCNCTATGTATGTCTGCTGTAAAATGTATGCTGTAAAATGATTGAATCAGTAGGATCTTACAAATGTACCTTCTTTTTTCAAGCTGTATTAAACAAGGTGTGATTGACAACTCAGGTCGGCTCTCTTTTAAGGTACTGTTATGCCAAAAATATAAACAAACGATTCAAAATTCATGAAAATTTTTTTTCAATTTGACTTTATAGGATCTTTCTTCTCATGATACATAAAAGAAGGTAGTTTCATTTAATGGCATTCATTGTTGTTGTTAACCATTTGACTTTTTATAAAATTATGGAATTTCATTAAATTCATGCTACCTGACCACGAGCAGTAATATTTTTTTTAAGCAGAAGATTTCATCAGTCCACTCAAAGATGTCGAGTATGATAAATCTGAAAATTAATGCATAATCTCCAAAATGGGGTTGACGAAACTAGGTTTCAGGACGGATGAACAAAGTGATCAAAATTATACTTATGCTAATTGCTTATCGGAGGGAGTTATGTGCAAGCCGAATTAACGTTTTTTGCATACATTGGAAATTTTAAATGCGAAATTTGTTGACGTTAATGGTGATACGCTAACCACAAAGCCTAATTTTTTGCAAAATCTGATGAGAACTTTAAAAGTAAATTTTCACGAATTTCATCACGAATTTCGTGTGAACAAATATTCCCAAAAATTATAAAGCAAAACAAAAATAATTTTTCCCAATTTGTTTTTGTTTTGCATGTTAAGTTATGAGAACAATTTATTCACATGGAATTGGCGATTATAACAAGATTTATTTGGAAAGAGCATTCTTTAGAATTTGATTTTTAAATCGCAAGATTGCATTCAAAATAAGAAAATGAAAAAATAACAACATTATAATATAAAAAGAACAATTTCAATGAAGTCTCCTTTAACATTACACATTTTATATGTTTTTAATAAAAAAAATGTGCGAACCACCACGTAAGTAAAAAAATCACCAAGCACTGATAATGATTTTTGATTTGAAATATTGTTAAATTGGTATAAATGTGGGAAAGAAAATACTCCGATTTATTGTTTTAATATTATCAAAGTGGCAAGGCCGTTGAGAATACTCACAATTTATGAAACGTCAAAAAATTGTATTATTCGTCAAGAGTTGTTTATTGAAACTACCTTCTTTTTTGTACCATGGTTCTTCAGAGAGCAATGTCAAATTCAATCACACTTTGTTAAATACATTTTCCTTTTTTTATGTAACGCAAGCACAGTTTTTTAGAAAATAAAATTTATTTTTTATATGGTCGATGAAACAAATCACAAATTAAATAAATTTCTTAATTAATATCGGATTTAAAACCAAAAATAATTTTAAATCCCGTCTGTGGCTCAGAATAATTAAAGAGCTCATCGAACGGTTTTTTTTTTCTCCCTGCAGTGCTATGTCCATCGAACATACGCTGTGTGTTTAGCATTACGTAGAGAAATTTTATTTAAAAAAATTTAATTTTTTCAGTACAGGGTAAAATCGGCTAAAAGTTGAAGCACCACTGGTCCCAGTGCAGTTTTATATTTTTATTTTCCTAGCGAGAAATGCTACACGAAAAATTCTTATTGGAAGTTTGCAGTTGTGGTACTTTCGTATATCTCTTGCTGTTTTTCTCTTCTCCCGTTTATCTTGCTCTCTTTCCTAGCAGCGGCTGCAGTACAAAATACATACTTGTGCATGTATGTATGCATATGTACATATATATATAGTAGATATACGTACGTAAGTACATATATGTATGTATATATTTATATTTTTTCACTTTAGTCACCCTTCCCATCAATTGAATACGTATGTATACGCATTTAATGTCAATATGTACATATGTAGATATGTAGGTTTTTATGTAAAGGAGTTTATCAATCCCCTTTGACCATTTATACTGGTCATTAGTTTGATGCAATTCCTTTATATGCACTCTCTGCTTTTCGCGTAATTTTCTTCTTTTCGATCATACAAAAACTTGACTGCATACAGCACACGGTTCACGGGACGTAAAGCGAACAAAAATGACGAAATATATATATCTACATATGTACATGCAGTGTACAAATACAGATAGTCTGTTGTTGTTGAACTCGGTTGTGTGCGTGTTCACGTGTTGTTTTTCGTTATTGTTGTCGTGAATATGGCGACTGTTGCTTTTGTTGCGCTTAACAGTGTTTTTCTTGAATACATACATATTGTGTATGTGTCTGACGCAAAGATGTTTTGCGGCAATGCTGATTGCCTTTGTTTGCCCTCTACTTGCAAAGTCGATAGCCACGAAACAAAAAACACAAAGATGGCCTAAAAATATATGTATGTACACATTATTCTTGTGTGTTTTGCAGTCAATTTGTTCAGATCCAAGTCTGTAACATAGATACAAATCCCACGCATACACGTATGAATACTCACGCCCAATTGCATACTATAATTATGCATGGATGTATGTATGTACATATGTTTATATGCATGGATGTGTATGAGCANGCATACACGTATGAATACTCACGCCCAATTGCATACTATAATTATGCATGTGTGTATGTATGTACATATGTACATATGCATGGATGTGTATGAGCAAACATATATACATACATATGTATGTATTTATGTATGTTAAAAGAAAGAACACAAATTTCGAAGGTAGGTATTGTTCTTTTGAAAATCCACAAACGATTCCTAACTTTTTACATAGCACATAAACTGCTTCACTACCACCTTTTAAGTTGTATTTTTTTCTCACAATTACAATAAATTTATTTTAATGAAAGAACGCAGATGACGTGTGATTAAAAATTATGCCGATGACTCGTTCGCAACTCAATTATCACCAGTATTTACATATAGGTATTTGCTGATTTCTGTTTTATCAAGTATGTACTAAAAAAAATTTCTCTTTACCGATTCACAAAATTGTATGTATGCGCGCGACACTGCTATGCCTATCTGCCTCTGCCTGACTAACTGGAAGCTTGTTTCTGGTTATTACGTTTGTTGTGTTTAGAGGCGCTCTCGATCTCGATTATGTGGCAAAATGAGCTACGGTTGGATGTGGATGTGCTGTGCTGCTTTGAAATTGTCTTTCTCTGCGTTTTCATCAATATTTGTTGGCGTGCTTGGACTTCACGTCGCTTTCAGCTATATTTACATACATACATACTTACATATATAAATACTTGCGCCTATGCTCGACGACTGCTAAATAAATCAGTGTCTTATTATTTACTAGTCACTAAAGTATATAAAACGCGACTTTTACAAGCTTTTATTTAGCCACTCTCCAAGTTAAAACTACAAGGAAGCGAAAACGTTGCACAACTCTCTTGAAATGATAGCAAAATATATACTAATGCGCAGAGATCTGAATACATATTTCTATATATATGTATAAATATGGATATGTATGCTTTTGATGGGTTAGGTCGGTGTTATGCAGAAATTTTGTTTGGCAAACTGCAAGGCGAATTTATACAAGGTGGTGTTGACAGAACAAAAAAAAATTTACAATAACAAATTATACGCACATTTGCTGTGTTTCCGTGGGCAATGATCGGGATCCGGATAAAAATTGGCATGCAAATGCAACAACAACGATAAGATCCTGATAGAGATCTGGTTCAATTTATGATCCGCTCTTTTTGGTTTGTGTCACTGATAATATGGCAGTACGGTTTGGTAGCACTGACAAATGAATTTATACACAAAAATATATTCTGCCATTGCTCCAATAAATTTCCTTTACGCTAAATATTTCTTGAAGTGCATATTATTTCGTTTAAATGCATTTTTCCCCATTTAGTGAGTTCATTTTTATATTTTCGTCTTCCTCGTGCTAGTAGTTTAAAATTAGTGCTGCCACTCCAACAAGAATGATCCACACCGTTTGCGTGAAAAATGATTGTGATACTTATACTGGGTGGTACTGACATGGATAACTAGATATGAAACTGTTTTTGTCGTGAGAGCACTGTCAAAGTGTGTATTTTTTATAACTATACCTAGTGATGCCACACCGGTGGAAACCTAAATTGGGTATTTTTATACTAAACTTGGATATTTCGCAGTTTCCACACCACCATTGAGGTATGTAAATGGCGCGTTACCGAAGTTAGTTTTGGGTGCTCGGTTCCCCAGTACTCGATGTTACCCGACGCATCCTCCAACACACTTGTTTTTTGCTTTTGTCATTTTCTTGCTGAAAAAACATCATTGCAACATAATTCATTGGCTTAAAATATCACCCTTGCACTAACTTTAATATTTACCTTCTTCTTTTTTACTTTTTCCTCTTATAACACACATTTCCGCAAAATACGAAAATCGCGACACTTTTCTATCAACGCAAAAACGAGCTGTTTTCGTCAATTATTTTTGACGACTTATTTCTGGCAGCGCACTATTTCGCGTGTCAGCTGTTTATCTGCCCAGGGATTGGCTGTGCTGCCAAGTGCGAAAACGAGTTCTTGGGCGCGCTCTCAGAAAAAATGAGACAGTTTCATATCTAGTTATCCATGATACTGAGCTGGATAACCCAAATAAACACAACCATTGACAATTAGTACCAAGGCGAATTTGTACAAGATGGTATCAAGAATGCAACAACAACAACCACATGTATTTTGTATTGTGCGTGTTATGTCAAATCTTGTTTGTGCTTTTGATGGGTGTGCTGTCAAATCAGTAAAAGCAAAAACAAATTACATGTAAGGTGAAGAAATCAGCTGATCTAACAACACCACCTTGTATAAATTAGCTTGATCAGTACAAAGCAAAATTAGACCAAAGACATCAGCCTGAAATCAGCGGATCCGATAACACAAAACGGCTCTTTGAGTCGCCAAACCGAGTTTGCTAANCGGATCCGATAACACAAAACGGCTCTTTGAGTCGCCAAACCGAGTTTGCTGCACAAAAATTGCACCAAGGAGAACTTATACATTCATAAATTCGCCTTGCTATACAAGGTTGCAAGGCGAATTTATATAAGGTGGTGTTGATGGCGAATTTAGATCTTCGCCGCGGAACCTCTTAATGTCAAAATTATGTGTTTATTGTAATATGAATTCGCCTTGTTTACAACAAACACATCATTTTGACATTCAGAAGTACCGTGGCGAAAATCTAAATTCGCCAGTAACACCACCTTGTATAAATTCGCCTTGCTATACAAGGTTGCAAGGCGAATTTATATAAGGTGGTGTTGATGGCGAATTTAGATCTTCGCCGCGGAACCTCTTAATGTCAAAATTATGTGTTTATTGTAATATGAATTCGCCTTGTTTACAACAAACACATCATTTTGACATTCAGAAGTACCGTGGCGAAAATCTAAATTCGCCAGTAACACCACCTTGTATAAATTCGCCTTGGCACGACTTGTTCGCACGCACACAGTTACAGTTGTTTTAGATGCTTGCGTTTTATGTTGCGTTTATGTGCATTATAACAATTTGCATTCATACTGTTACGATTATCATTAGCTCTGATCCAGTACTCCATGAACTTACAGGATTTTACACGAACTTGCAGGAAGTTACAGGAAAAATGTTCCCGTACTCCAAAGTCCTACAAAATCCTGTAAATGAGAGCGTCTTTTGGAGAGTTGTGTAGAGAACCCCGAACCTTTTCTTCTGGTAAAATCATGAAAAGTGTCAAGGAAAAATGTGTTTTTTTTGTTCCCGTAATTTTTGTTGTTACTCACTTTTTACTCTCACTTCAGAGAGTAATTTTGCTGTTTGACAGTTTTACAGGATTTTTCATGAAAAATATTGGATCAGAGCTATTGACTACTTGACAGATTTACCAAAATCCTTTCGGTTCGTATCGCTGGATTGTTGAATAAATGCTCACTTTATTGTACAACAAACACTTTACAATACTTGTTTATGCAATAACAAAAATTAACAATACTTGTTAAAACAATTAAAACACTTTACAAAACTTGCTAACACAATTGATCTCTGTGTAACAACTTGACTTGTCAGGCATATCCCAGATTCCGAGTGAACTGCCGTCGTGAAAAAATCTCCCATCACGAATTCGGAGAAATATCATCAGCAATTCCGACGCATTTATAGTGTTTTGGTTTAATAATTCTAAATCCAAATAAAATAACTCGAAATCAGTGATACAGTTCTCACGACGGAATTCATGATAGCGATTTCCCGACGCGACATCGTCGGGATCTCCGACGGAATTCATGATAGGCCTGTGTAGCTTGCTGATTCGCAACTCACTTGCAACTAACCCCTCCCCGCTGTAGCAGCGGCCTTATATACCTGTGCTCGCACTCATGGCAACTCTTGAACGTTCTGCCGTCCATAGTTGCCAACTTAGTGCTTTAAGCACTAGATTTAGTGCTTTTTGAAAATTAAAACGCCAAAAAAAATGGTTTAGTGCCTAGTGCCCTTTTTAGTGCTATTTCTGCACTAAAATTTCTGAATTTACAAGAATCTACAAATTTAAATGCACTAAAATGCAAACCATGATTGATAAAAATATGAAATTGCAAACCCACGTTCTTGCGTTCTTGTTAAATTGTATTCGCGTTGAAAATGCTGGCACGCAGATAAGTTAAGTGTTTACTTTTTATTTTCTTCATTATTGATTGATTACACAGTCCGAAAAATTTTAACTTTTTTTGCCACCTGAGTTCATCGGTTTCTAGATTTTTCGGTGCTGAATAAAATCTGTAATAGTTTCGGTCTGCATAGTTAGTAAAAACTGCTACAAATTATCGCGTACAAGAACGCTACTATCTGATATTTAGCGCTGGGATGAGTTTTACAAATTATGTACACTCTTCACTTTGTAAATCAGAAAGTGAGAATAAGTTTTAACTGTCAAAATTGTATACACTTTCTCATTTTGCGATTCAGCAAGTAACAGAATGAGTTTTAACTGTAAAAATTATGTACACTTCTCTTCAGAAAAACTCACAGCACTTCTTTCGGTGCGTTTTTGGTGGTGAGTTTTGCACTGGGTATTACAGAATCCAGCCCCCAGGTTTTCTAGTTTACTCAACGAACGTGAACCAATTAGAACAGATCTGACCGGTTGAGAAGCAGCCATTTGTAATAGCAATTGAGAAAAAAAGTGTGTGACGTTCGTAATTTTGAAGTTTGCTATTTCTGTTTTGCTTCTTTCTTTATGTGTATTTTGTCGGTTGTTGTTGTTGTAACAGCATACAAGTTCCCCAAAGAGTTTTTGGGGAGTGTTGCTGGAGTGACAGTCCTTGGCCAAATATAAATCTGGGTCGTTCCGGTTACGTAGACCCGACTGTCGTGGGTTTATTTCAGTGATTTTTATTTGTGCAAATGTAATTAAAATGAAGTGCGCGGTGATTGGATGCAAAAACACGTACAAAAATAATAAATTGGTTAGCAAAAACATGTACACAACATTGCTTCCTTTTTTTCTTTATGCTTCGTCTTCATATTCTTTGTTTACTTTTCATAGAAAATAACATGGCGCCGAAATTACAAACGTCAGCCAGAAAATACTTTTTTCTTTTGCTTCATCTTGTCAGATCTTGTGTAGTTGGATCATGCTCAACGAACGAAGTGGTGTGCTGCTATTCCATGACAGCAGTGTCAGGTCTAAACCCAGAGTAAAGCTCCGTGAATCGAAAAAATATATCGATATATCGATGAATCAACGCGTTTTCCAATGCACCGATTGTTTTTTTTATTTCGCTAAGATTTATTTAACTACAACTATTAAATTAATTCTTAATTGGTCAGGTAAATTGATAAAATGTCTAATAAAATCGAGCCTAGATGCATAGAGTGTCAAAAAACGGAAACCCTTTTATGGAGACAGGCCGAGACTGGGGAAGGTGAAATTTGTTTAGACTGTTACGAACAAAAGGAAGCAAAATATTTGTTGGAAAGCAATGCTTCTTCAATTGATTTGGATAAAACAAATGATGAATTAAAGAAACTCAAAGATGCAAAAGACTCGAATGAAGGTAGGCAGGCTACAACGGCAGAGGAAAAAAAACTACGCAAAAGTACCAGATCCACTCGATTTAAAGCGAAAGGATCAAATTTATCCACTAATACTACAGTGCCAAATTGTAACGTCCAAAGCATTGCGAACAATGCTAAGGTGCAAAATAAAGGACGTAGCAGGCGTAACATCTTCAAAAAAATACCTTTTAAGACGCCGGTGGTACAAGCAACTACACATCCCGTGGAGAGCGTATTTTACAAAGTATGCTATCTATTATTAAACGATTTCACTATTAAAACTGCTCTATTCTAGGGATCTTATCTGCAAGTTGGCGACATTGTATCCTTAATGGATGATAAGCAAAACATATATTATGCTCAAATTCGAGGACTTCTAGTCGACAACTTCTGCGAGAAATCTGCATTTCTCACCTGGCTTATTCCGACGCAAGCTAGTCCGGATCCTCATAACGGATTTGACCCTGCGTCATATTTAATAGGTAAGTAGGTATAACCTACATGAAGAAAAGCTTTCACAGTGGGAATACATAACGCTCATTTACAAGAAGACTGTCAACTCAAAAAACTAGATTTTTCAAGAGACGATTTTAAAAAGCTTTTGATTTAGTCAAAAAATTGCAGAAAATGGAGATGAATGTAAGAGAATATTGGGGAAAAGTTTTAAGCCAAATTAAAAAAAGATTGTTTGTAATTGGTAATCTTTTAGTAAAATAGCGATATGTGTAAATACATATGCACTTAGTACGTACATGATTGCGCTAAAAATTTTGCAGGGCCAGACGAAGAGCTTTCTCGAAAACTTTCCGCCCTACAGTTTATAATGCATGCTCCTAGCAATTATTATTATGATCGCACCACACCCTTCCCGATACCAGACGCAATGGACGTCGATGGCAAAACGAGAGGTTTTATCTGGACTACGCTCCCCGAATTCAAACGCAGATCTGAGTTATGAAATGCAACGAACACGCACTCTGTTGTAATATATGGAATATTAAGTTTTATTAAGTTATGGAACTACCTTAACAGCAAACAAATAAAGTAGTTTAATATATGTATATTCAAATAAGTTTTTATTATAATAGCATGAAAAGTCCCCAACAAGTTTGTGCGAGGTGATAGTACCTGACTAGATATTAGTGTGAAAAAGAAGTAATAGCCACCGGTTGTCCAGTTTTAATACACACTCTTTCAAAGGTACGACCGAATTGCTAAATTGTGCGGGAGCATCGCCACTAACGACCAACATGCTCTCCTTCTCTGCGCACTCAACCGCTATTGTCAATAAAGTACAGAGCCGCAACAAGGTCCTCAAGTCGCTAGCCGGCAGTACTTGGGGCAAAGACAAAGAAACGTTGCTGGCAACATACAAGGCAATAGGCCGGCCGGTTTTGAACTACGCAGCGCCAGTGTGGTCGCCAGGGACTAGTAGGACGCAGTGGACGAAGCTACAGACTGTACAGAACACCGCACTCAGGACAGCGACAGGATGCCTCCTGATGTCGCCTGAACACCACCTGCACGGCGAGGCGCAAATGCTCCCTGTAAAGGAGCACAATATAATGCTCTGCAAGCAGTTCCTGATCGGGAGCCACAGAAGTGGCCACCCAAGCAGACAGCTGCTTGCAGAGGAGCCCTCGCCTAGGCACGTCAGGAGGCATCTATATGAACTTACGGACGAAGTCCAGAGGTTCATTAAGCAACCTCTGGACCCGACAGCTTACAGACAGGCCCTGAACGGCATTCACAGGGACTCAGTCTCGAGTTATGTAGACTCTAGACCTGTGAATGCCGTTCTAGGCATACCACCCCCGGACATAGACGAGACGGAGCTTCATCTGCCTCGGGAGACACGCACAACACTCGCTCAACTTCGCTCCGGCTACTGCAGCAGGTTAAACTCCTACTTGAGTAGGCTGAATGAGGATGTGCCGAACGAATGTCCGGCATGCGGAGAGACCCCACATGACTCGAACCATCTCTTCGCATGCCCGGAAAACCCGACAACCCTAACGGCCCTGTCCCTGTGGACAGATCCCACAGAAGCTGCACGCTTCCTAGGGTTGCCGTTAGTGGAACTTGACGACAACGACTGAGATACCAACCGATCTGGGCGGGGTTGTTGTAGCCGCTACAACAACAACAACAACCAACATGTTGGCGAAGAATGTCATCAAAGAATATTTTGTACTTCCTATTGGAACTAGAGCACAACAGATCTGGTCGCAGTGCATACCTCAACCAATATCTATCTATCTAAACCCTGGGCCAGAAACTTACACCTGCTGCGTGTGCCAGAGACGACTACATGACAATCTACCTCAGTCAAGTGTAATCAGGGCGGGTACTCTTTATGAATTTGTACGATTTTGGGTTGCTGTGCCCAAATGCATGAATCGAATCAAAAACCTTTTACGCACACTTGTAGACAACAGTTCACGCTTTATTACAAAAATAAAAGTTACTATATCTGTGCACTAATATATTAATAATGTTGGAAATATGGTATTTTTTGCAAGTTTCCGGGCTGAGCTGTCAAAAAAAAAACACGAAATATCTCTTCAAAAGGTGTTCAGCCCTTCTTCTTTAGCAAAACAGAAAGGAGAATTCTACTTAGTGAGGGTTATAATCCCTAAGCGTTGCCCGCCCCCTTTTTCGGATTTTAACGGCTTATTTTTTTTTTGTGTAAATTGTCAGGGGCGGCGATAGGGGGCTAAACGTGGAATTTTCAACATTTTCAAAAGCTTATATTTGGAAAACTATCGAACCGATTTTCTATATATGGGCACAGTGGGAAAGGTGATTGAAGGGCCTATCATTCGATATATATATCTATGTATATGATGTATACATATTGCGAGAAAAGGTAACAAACGAAATTATGGCAATTTCTTTTATAAAAATGTATGTTTTTCTTTAAAAAATACGTAATTAACTATGTTATCAGATATGTTTATCAGAAAGGGCACAAAAATACCGTTAATTTGATATATGACTTGTAGCAAAAAATTCTTGTGGACATCATATTTGACTAAATATATATAAAACTATAGTTCTATATGAAAAAGGAAGAGCGCCGCAGGCGAAAATTTGGAATAAAAAATCGCGCGATAGAAAATTTTACTCTCTTTAGCTTTTACGAAAATGCGGCCACGCTTAGGGATTATAACCCTCACTACGTAGAATTCTTCTTTCTGTGTTGCCAATTAAAAGGGGCTGAACACCTTTTGCAGAGAACACCTTTTTGCGTAGGCCGCCTTCGGCCGCGCTTAGGGATTATAACCCTCACTACGTAGAATTCTTCTTACTGTGTTACCAAATAAAAGGGGCTCCCCTAGCGCCGCCCCTGTTAATTTGCACCAAAAAAAAGTTTACTATTAGACTCAGCAGAAAGGGGTGCACCACGTCCACGTTTTCTTTTTTCTCTAGTTCAAGGGTCGGTANCCTTCGGCCGCGCTTAGGGATTATAACCCTCACTACGTAGAATTCTTCTTACTGTGTTACCAAATAAAAGGGGCTCCCCTAGCGCCGCCCCTGTTAATTTGCACCAAAAAAAAGTTTACTATTAGACTCAGCAGAAAGGGGTGCACCACGTCCACGTTTTCTTTTTTCTCTAGTTCAAGGGTCGGTATTCTTTAGGTATGCCGAAAACAGGACAATGTCAAAACAGATATTTGACAGATGTTAAGTCATATTTGGTTGAAAAAGGAGACGTGCGGTAAAGAAACGCAGCCAGCATATATAAATTCGCCTTTCCTTAGAGGTTTCCAAACATGCAACCATGCGCAAGTTTGCCTATTGATGTCACGCAAGATGTCACAAGCAAACATTTTGAGGTTCTGCGATAGGTGTCGCCAATAGTTTGTGATTTTTTTTTTTTTAATGAATTTTCTGCATTTTCCAATTTGCTTCGCAACAAAATATAGAGTCCCTAGGACGGTTAATCAAATCAATTAAATAGCAATTTATCCAGGATTATCAAAAAATATATGCTGGTTTGAAGGTAATTAAGATTATCATGACAAAACAAAATTGTGGAAAGTTAATTCATGAAATTTCCAGCACTCGTCTGGTAGGCATAGAAGCTGTGCAGTGTTTTGAGCATTTTGGTTTGTTTTAGAAATGCTTAAATATTGTTCGCAAAAGTGGCGTTTGTAAGCGATAACTTAAGTTTTGAACGTTATTTTCTTCAGAAAATGCAGGCAAGTCTTTTTTTAAACTACATAAGTGAATTTTATCGATTTCTTATTTTTCCTATAGTATATAAATAATTTATCTTCTATACTTCCAGCAAGTGGACACAGATCCACCATCCCTACCGGTTGGTACGGAGGTAAGTGCAAAATACAAAGGAGCCTTTTGTGAAGCAAAAGTAAGCAAAGTAGTACGAAATATAAAAGTGAAAGTTGCCTATAAGCAAGGGCTTGGGTCGGGTATAGTATCGGATGACTTAATAAAAGTTGCTCCGGGGCAACTTCGTGTTGGAGCTACCGTTGAAGTCCGTCATCCGGAGCGTAAGGACCTAGTAGAGGGGACAGTAACTAAAATACAAGATTGCTCGCAATATACCGTGGTTTTTGACGACGGAGACATAACTACGTTACGCCGTACTGCTTTATGTCTCAAAAGTGGCCGTCACTTTAACGAAAGCGAAACTTTAGACCAACTGCCACTAACTCACCCTGAACACTTTGGAAATCCAGTGGTAGGAGGACGACGTGGCCGAAGGAGGGGTCAGCTAAATGACGACAGCTCTGACGATGAGGATGAGAGCGATACAAAAGAAGTTGTTAATGAAAAAGAAGAACACATTGGAAAGGTTGTTTGCGTGGAAATGGAGACGAAGAAAAAGGATAAAGAAAAATGGTTTCCTGGCCTAATATTAGCACCTATGGCACAAGTATGTAGTTTTTTTTTAATCAATACAACAGGTAGTTATTTTGAACATATATTTACGCAGGCAAATGTCAGAATACGCGTAAAAGACGAATATTTAGTAAGATCATTTAAAGATGGCCGATATTATACAGTTCCAAAAAAGGAAGCAACTGATTTTACGCGTGAGGTCGCAGCAAAACAAGATGGTCAGGCTGTACAAGCAGCTCTTGAATATTTAGATAGCGGAGCTCTACCACCGCATTGGGATCGTGAATCTTTGTTTGGCCTTAATAATTCTTCCAGTGAGGGCGAAGGTGAACTAGAATCTGACTCGTCCGATGATGAACCTCGTGAGGAAAAAGATCGGTTTGTAGCCCAATTGTATAAATATATGGATGATCGAGGAACCCCTTTAAATAAGGTGCCCTCAATTCAAAATCGTGACGTTGATTTATATCGACTATTTCGAGCGGTACAAAAATGTGGTGGGTACAATCGTGTGACTGCAAAGAATCAATGGAAATCAATAGCCATTCGCCTGGGCTTCACACCTGTAACAGTAAGTGTCACAAATTTAGTGAAACAAGCGTTTAAAAAATTTCTTCAACCCTACGGCGAATTTCATCGCAAACTCGGGTGCTCTATGTTAATGACACCGCGGAACTCGAGCCGCAGTAAAGGCCGTAGTTTAGTGCGTGCAAATTCTGTGGCTTCACCAAAGCCAGTGGAAGTCATTAATAAAGATTCCTCGAACAAATCTGCAAACCCTATTACGTCTACGCCATCTTCATCAGCCTCTTCGGTTTCCAGCGGTCAAAACCTGACTTCTCCGTCTGTTGCGCCAATAACACCAGCCGTGTTAGTCGGTGCAGCAACGCCGTCGAACACGGAAGAGTCGGAAAATACAAGCGAATCGAGTTTAGATAACCCAAAAAACAAACGAAAAATTTTGATTGGTAAAGTAAAAGGCCTTGTTGAAAAATATGAAGAAAAAGCTAAAGATGATGGTGATGTGCCTCTGTCTAAAATCAAGGCGGCCGCGGAATCTTCACGATTTGATGATAAAGAGACATCTCAGAAGGATAGTTCTCCTATTAGTTTGCATTTAAGGGAATCCTCACCGCCAGGTATGTAAATATCCATTACAACCTACATACAAATAAATGCATGCAATTTTATTTCACTGTTGCTAAAGGGTTGTAGGAACTTTTCTGGGTCATTTAAAAACACAACTTAGGTGTGTTTGTTTGATTTTGAATTATATATATTTTAATATTTTTAAGGAGATTAAGAGTTTGTTACGCGATTTTTTTTGTATTGCCTTAAGCATCTTAGTTAAATGTGAAAGACATAAAAATAATTCTATAATCAGCAGTAGATAAGCATCGGCAAGTCTTGGCTTTTTTATAGAACTATTTTTATATTATACTATATTATATTATATTATATTAGGGAGGAAAAAACTAACACATCGAATTTATGGTTTTAAAAGGACTTATTTACTGAGAAGAAAATTTTAAAAGGTGTCGTCGGGCATTTGAAATTTTCCATTTAAAGAACATGTAAAAAAAATTGTTTGCATTAAAAATGTTATAACTATAGAACAGTTTTTTCTTGGCGTATTCTTGTAAAACAACTCAAAATTTGATTGTCTAGACACAAACATTTATATATTTACGGGCTATGAAAGACGAAAAAAGCAGAAATATGGAGTTTTAGGGCTTTACGATTAGAAATATTGATGCAAAATGCGTAGAAAATGTTAAATATAAACTGGATTTATTTTCATTATTACATTTATTTAATTTTTTATTGCATTTTTAAAAATCAATATTCATTTAAATTATTAGAAAAATTGAGTTTATTTCAATTAGGATATTTCGACCGATGTACTGACACTACCTGCAAAAGAAATTGATTTTGTTCTTTGTCTTTCGTCAAATATCGATTACAATTTTGTATCAACGCTATAGTCCCTCCCTCAGTAATTTGATTAACATATTTGATACTCCTAATCGTCTCTAAGACAACCAACTTCAGGATCATTTTTTACAGAATTTATGGCCCTACAACATTGGTTCCTAACCGGCGTCCCACTTCTCCTTATCGCAATACCTCCACGGTCCATCGGTCTATGGTGGGGTAAAAAACCTTAATTTGTATCGCATCCCTTCCTTATGTATACATATACAAGAAACCGTTACCCAGCCACTGCAAGTGACGCTACCGAATATTTCTAATTGTTATTTTTTTATGTTTGACAGTAAGTAAGAGAATGATCCAGGGACCGCAAATAACGATTAGCCCTTGAAATTTCAACTCAAAAAATCACGCTGAAAGAGAAATGCTACGTGCATAAGGAGTAAACCAAAATATTTCTTATTACTCGGAATACCTTCAGCGGCACTGATTTTTGTTTTTTAATTTTTACTTATAAAAATAAAGTTTAATCATTACATTTTGAGTTTTATTTTTTGCTCGGAAAATAATGGTTACGTTTTAAGTTTTATTTTTTGCTCGGAAAATAATCGTTATTTCTTAAGTTTTATTTTTTGTTCAGAAAATAAAACTTAATTTTTGCGTATGCGTATATNAAAATAATCGTTATTTCTTAAGTTTTATTTTTTGTTCAGAAAATAAAACTAAATTTTTGCGTATGCGTATACGCTTTTTTGCACTTTTTCTTTAGAAATGTGGTTCGCTTTGTTTCTGCGATGGTATCTGCATTTTCATTACCCACTCCACAGTGGCATTAAAGGTTCAATGCAGCCGCCCCCTGTCTATTCACGCATGCGCATACGCATACGCAAAAATTAAGTTTTATTTTCTGAGCAAAAAATAAAACTCAAGAAATAACGATTATTTTCCGAGCAAAAAATAAAACTTAAAAAGTAATCATGATTTTCCGAGCAAAAAATAAATCTTAAAACGTAACGATTATTTTCCGAGAAAAAAATAAAACTTAAAGCGTAACGATTATTTTCCGAGCAAAAAGAAAAACTCAATAAATAATCGTTATGTTTTGAGCAAAAAATAAAACTCAGTTAATAACGATTAAAAAGAGATTTTTATAATAAAAGTTATAGCCGTTACGGTCCCTGGAATAATGTAATAAAGTACGATTCACCAGAGCCCCTAAACTACAAATTTATTATAACCAACCCTGGATACGGCGAGTATACCCCAGCATTGTAGAAGAGGAATTTATTTTCCCTCGTGTGCAAGAAAAATATCTGGTTAGGACAGATGCATGTAGGGTTTATCGTGATTCCCTGCCACAAGGCTTAGCATCACGGTGCCCGCACTTAGCACAACGGATTAATTTTTGCCTTAATCTCTGCCCTGAAATGCAAGCACTTCAGTTCCAATCGGCAGTGTGTGGTGGACACACTTACCACCTTGGTAAAGCCGAAACCTACCTAAAATCTCTGCCGTTCTTTGGGTCCCGGCACCCGGTTGAAATGCAACTCCACATTGAACCCTTGCGAGTTTTACCCGCATTTAGGTATTAAACCACAGCCACCACGATACTCCCAGAAGGGGCCGTACCCATGAACAGACCGGAAAATGTTCGCCGGCGAGATTTGCTCCATTGGCTCAACTCACCCTGACCCACTTAACTGACTCAACTCACACTAGAACGACTACTGCTCTCCACATTCATCTCCATTTCAACATGCACACTTCATACCATCATGCTCCGTCTTGCCCATCTCACACGCCTTACTCGCCTCGCTCGTGGGCACCCTCTTCTAACCAGGAGAGGTGACACCACTTGCTCAACTTTCGCAACGGATCGAATTGCTCAACTTGCGCAGCACTTTTCCATCATTTCCAGCATTTTCCACGGTTTAAAAACATTTTCCTTCATTCTCAAACTTTCATTCAACTTAATTTTCACCCTTTTTTCTAGTCGTGTTTGCCATGCTAGTTGCCAGTCTTGCTTGTGTCGCCAGTTTTGCTCGTCTCGCCGACGAACACACTCCGGGGGCATCTGTTCCCCGTGGCACCATTTTTAAAGTCTTTGGTATGACTCTCGAAAGCCGTAGACTTTTCTGCCAGTTGAGTCTCCACCGACTCAGGACTGGTAGCCTTTAACTGGGGTAGACGGGGTTGTCAAGCCCGTACCCTGGAAATACCAAATCCCCCTGTCTTCCCTCCTGTTTTCTCAAACCGGGCTTGGGACCGTCTAAGGCACAGTTATCTGGTTAGGACAGTAGGCAGACGGGACGAAGCTTGGTTTGCAGCTGCGTTAATGAACTCCCCCAGACTGAAGCTCCGGCATAAACGCGAGTGCACAAGCCGCGGTTGTGAACAGGCATCGCAAGCACATCCTGAAAAGCTAGCCTATACGGTATGCAATTAATTTTATGTATCTCGATACCAAGTTCCAGTACTGCACCATGCACACTTCCAGAGACAAGTAGTATGAAAAATTTGGTTTGTACGGGAGGGGCCAAGAGTATGCGATTGATTTTGTATATCTCCATACCGAGTTCCCGAACTCTACCATGAACACGTCCAGAGATAAGCAGCATGGAAAATTTGGTTTGTATTGGAGGAGTCACGCCCCCTTTTGCAATAGCTCCAAGGGGCCAAGGGTATGCGATTGATTTTGTATATCTCCATACCGAGTTCCAGAACTCTACCATGAACACTTCCAAAGACATGCAGTATGAATAAATTCGGTTTGTATGGGAGGTGCTACGCCCCCCTTAAATTTGTTTAGCCTAAACCCATCCCTGGGACACGTGCGGCAGGTGTCTGAAACAGAGACCCAAAATAATGATTATCCTAATATGTGAGATCAAAAACGTCTTTTTTCGTCTTTGTATAATAATTATTTAGGAGAAATATCTTTTCAGATGGAAATTATTAACGTGTTTAAATAATAATTATATGGGATTTTTGTTTTTCTCATCTCTCGGGACTTCTATTTCAAGACGAATGTTATTTACGTCTTCTCATAATAATTATGTGGTACTTTTATTTTTTTTTCATCTCGTGGGACGTTTATTTCAAGACGGAAATGATTTACGTCTTGTCGGGACTTTTAGTTTTTTTCGTCTCGCGGGACGTTTATTTTAAGACGGAAATGATTTACGTCTTTTCATAATAATTATGTGCGACTTTTATTTTTCTCGTCTCTTGTGACATTTATTTCAAGACGACAATGATTTACGGCCCACGCTTTCTCTTAATAAAATCGGTGAATGTACTGCCGACTTCACGAAATTAAACGCAAATATCTCCGAGCTCGATTATTGGAATTTGATTTGCTAACATCTGGCAACCCTTGTCAATAACCTACCACGTAAAAGCAAAGCCCTTTAATTTGACAGCACATTTTTGAAAATCGAACGAACGAAGATTTAATGACATGAACAATTGTGGCGTTAAATATTTAACGCGATAAATCTCCGAACTCAATTAAGAAGTTTCATTCAATAAAAGTCCCATATCATTAAATCATTTCCGTCTTGAAATAAACGTCCCGCGAGACGAAAAAAAATTAAAGTCCCATATAATTATTATCAGATGACGAAAATAATTTACATTTTAAAATAATCGTCCCGCGGGACGAAAACAACTTTTCCATTGTTCAGTAATAATTATAGAGCAATATTTAATTTTATTTCTTATAATCATTATGGTCTCTGGTCTGAAATTTCGGTGACAGGTAATAAGGTCAATGGAAATAAGGTCAATTGACTTTATTTCCCACCCTGGTGCGAAACAAAGTCAATTTACATTATTACCTTTTCAAAAGCGAAATAAAGTCAACACAAATTTGGAAATAAAGTCATTGGCGCTATTTCCCCGTAAGAGTTGTTTTTTAATAGATGACAAAGGTTATTGCCAAATCCTCAGTGTTGTGATATTAATCCACACACAATCATGAACTATCCCCAATTGATTTTATTAAAACAATTTAAATTACGAATATGTAAAAATACGATGCGAAAAACTAAACGCCTGCGCACAGCTGGAATACGAGAAATATTTGAAGAAAGAGTGTAGAAATGATCCATAACTTGCAAAACATGTTTCGTTTCCACAAAAATAAAGCGAACACTATTAAATTGAAGAAACAGTCCATGTCCAAAAACCCCGGAGGAACACTGAAAGAATTCTCTGTTTTAAATTAGCATATTTTGAACGAATTCGGAATGTCTAAGGTGGAAAAGAAACCAACCTTTCTATAAGGAAACAATTATAGAAAAAGAATTTTCTTGCACTGTATTCATGTCTCCGCCAGCAATTTGTGACGACATCATTTAAAAGCAGCTAAGAAATTCGTGCTCCCTTATTTTCATTTTGACGCAGTTCAATGTTGATTCTTTTACTTTTATTTGGCTTTGCTTTTTGTTTTCGCTCAATTTAATTTTTATAATTTTTCAAAACAAAAGCAAAAACGTTGGAAATTAAGTGAGCCATACAAATTTTGAATTTATTTACCAGCAAATGTTTTTTCCCGGCTTTTGCAAATTGCATAAGTTCTCTGTAAGATGGTTTGTTGAAAAAAATACGTGAATATTGGAAAAAGGGATATTTCCAGCAGTAAACGTTTTAGTGTGGGCAACAATGATATTTTTTAAATAAGGCTCTCTGTGAAGACAATACCTGTAATTATTGTACGATGGTTTAAAATAAAACTTCAAATAACGAACGGTCTAACTGAGTAACTAAAATACTATTAAATACTACCTTTCAAAATATATGTTTACTGAGATGTTTGCTTTATAATTATAATATACTGTTTCAATTCGTCATAACATTGAACGATTTTTCCAACAGGGCGGCAGCTCAGCGTTGAATTGAAAATACTTTCGGCGCAACTATCTCCATTTATTGCAATTCCATTTGTTTCCATTTATCAGCTGTTCATTTCACAGCATATTCATTAGGTGCAACNTTATAATATACTGTTTCAATTCGTCATAACATTGAACGATTTTTCCAACACGGCGGCAGCTCAGCGTTGAATTGAAAATACTTTCGGCGCAACTATCTCTATTTATTGCAATTCCATTTGTTTCCATTTATCAGCTGTTCATTTGACAGCATATTCNCCTCCAAATTTTGGTTGTAAATTTTTGCTTATTTTGTATGTAAACACACTCAGCTCACACATGTAAATAACCAAAAATACTTTAAAGTTCATTAGAATCGACTTAAACAAGTAATTAAATACTTTTCAACATGAATTAGCAGAGTGCACTTTTCTTTTGTTTACAATTTGGTTGCCAAACACACCACAGCTGATCGTTTGACACATTTACCAGAATTTATCAGCAAAAAATTCTCGGACTAAAACTGGTAACTTCTGACAGAGAGAGAACCGTATTTACTCTCTTTTTTGTCCTCTCAATAGTCAGAGAACCGAGTACGGGATCGATTTCCAGTAAAATCTGACTGATTCTGACTATTTCTGACTCGTACGGGATCGCAACTATTAACGCTTTTCTAAGACGTAATTGTTGGGTTCAACAGTTGCAGCACAACCGAAATTTTCAATAAAGTATAGAGCCGTAACAAGGTCCTCAAGTCGCTCGCCAGCAGTACCTGGGACAAAGACAAAGAAACGTTGCTGGCCACATCCAAGGCAATTGGCCGGCGATCCTGAACTATGCTGCGCCTGTTCGGTCGCCGGGCACTAGTGGAGGCAGTGTACGAAGCTGCAAACTAGTCACAATGCAGCACTCCGGACAGCGACAGGATGCTTTCTGATGACTTCTGAGCAGCACCTTACAGCGGGGTACAAATGCTTCCCTTAAGGGAGCAAAAAAAAATTAAATAAACGCAGTTCAGGCTTACATCGACTAACCACTGGACCCGGCGACGTACCAACGAGTGATCAACGGCATTCATAGAGAGTCGGTCCTATGAATATCGTTATCGGAGCCCAACCACCACCTTTTGCAAACTCTGAGCCTCGACTGCTACGCTACTTTGGCCCAATTCCGACCAGAATATTGTTGCCGTCTCAAGAGGTAATTGTCCAGACATGACCCCGATATCCCCAATGAGTGCCCGGCATGTGGAGACTCCCCGATCCCGTCGAAGCAGCTCGTTTCTTGGGCCTACCGTTAGTTGAGCTTGACGACTACGATTGATGGATAAGCCGACCCAGGCGCGGAAACAACAAAAATGTCCCCAAAAACCATTGTTCCCGATGGGCTATCATTTTGAAAGTAATGGCCTGACGATTTTAGGGGTTTGCCAAAGATGTTTTAATTTTCAGTGACAGCCAAGCTACAGTTAGCTCCGTAGCTATTTAACTGATGAGAAAACAGAAAAGTCAACCTTATTTATGTTCCCACTCTGATTCCATTGGAATACGGTTGGTAAATTCTGTGCTCTAAGGGTCTGATTATGCATACTTCGCATAACTTCGCACAACCATTTGTACCAGTGCACTAAAAGTGTAACTTAAGAAAATGTGAAGCAAAATCTAAACTCAACAGATCGCTAAGTTTTTAAAAGTTCTGCCAATTTCTGGGTAATGGAATACGTACAAAGTACATACGAAATTACACTTTGAAGTTTATGCGAAGCTGTGCGAAGTTATGCGAAGTATGCATAATCAGACCATAACGAATTAAAGATGAATATCTCATGCTTTAATGAACTATCGTCCGGAAGAGACAGTTAATTTTCTTCTCTACTAACCCATGCTGTCTTGGAGCAAAATGCGACTTCTGGGGTCTCCGTTTTTTGACTTGACCTAGATAGTCCAGCAAGGGAGAGTGAAACTTTTCCAGTAGTAGCTTAACATTGGCAGCACTTTTGGCAAAGTCAAAGAACCATTGTTGGCACCATATAAGGTAGTTGGTTGGCAGATTCTATATAATATTACGCTTGACCTGCCATCACACCGCGCTACAGACAGTAACGATATCACTTGTGATGATGCCTGAACAGCACCCTCACAGCGTGACCCTAATGCTCACTGTCTGGGGAACTGAATTTATGCCCATGCTGGAAATGGGCCACCTTGTAGGCAGAAGCACCTCTATGAACTGAAGGATGAGATTGAGGACTACATCCGACAATCATTGGACCCGACGCTGTACAAACAGGCAATCAAAAATATTCACAGAGGGATTACCACCGCCTTCACCTGTTCTCGCCCCGTGGATGCCGTCATCGGAGTTCAACTCATTGCAAAGAAAAAGCTTCAGCTGCCTCGTAAGATCCGTCGATCTCTGGCGAAATTAACGTCCGGATACCATTAAATAAGCTGATTTAGGCTGGGCTTAGAGTGCCGCTATATCAATAATAAAATTCAATTTTTTAATAAGATATTCTCGGCGACTTTGTAAATATTGTTACTTTAGGTTCTTTTTTATTTTCTCGTGTAAATTATTGTATGATTTTGACTTTTATACGATGGTAAGCGTTTGCTAACACCCCACGTAAGTTCCAGATATTTGCAACCGTTTCTGGTTGAACATTATATGCGGAATCAACAGCTTTGGCCCAAATTTCGATTTCTTGTGCCGTTATCTTATCAATTGGGATTCGCGCAGTCCATAGTGACCAAGCATAATGGCGCCCGTCGGGTAGATCCTCCTGATCCAAAGCTGCAACATGCCATGTTTTGCCCTGATCTATAGTCAAATCAACTCTCAGGATGCGACGGCCGCCACCTGACCACGCATATCCCTGTACTGTGAGACAACCATTAACTGGTATTTTTACTTCCTCACCCTCTGCTGGTGTACAAATCGCTGAAGTGACGGGCATTGCTTGAATGGCGTGTGCTTTGGAAAAATCGACAGTATCCCAATCCGTACTTGGGCTGAATACTTTATAATCATTCTGCTGCCAATGCGAACTAGATTCGCTCTCAGACACTGCAATACGAGAAAGCCATTTCACGTTGCGGGCGCCAACTGTACCAGGAACGATACACCGCAAAGGGAATCCATGATCTCGGCTGAGCGGTTGATCATTCATTTCATACGCTAGTAACACATCTCCTCGTTCGTCCATTGCTTTCGAAAGTGGGATGGATGCACCGTAAGGATGTGAAGTTGGATCGAGATCGGCACCTTCTAATACCACATGTAGGTTTTCATTGGGCTTAACACCCATTTCAAGTAGAACATCTCTCAAACGGACCCCGGACCAAGTTGCGTTACCCACTGCTCCTGCGTTCCAAGAAAGACCTGTAATGATAAATAAAACAACGAAGAAACGGTATTGTCAAGCTTAGGATTGAAAATACTACACCAACCTTTCACGGACTTCACCGTCGTCATTTCAGAACGTCGGTTACCTCCACACATTATTGCGGCAGTGACCGTATACTTCGGCATTCTCTTAATATCATTAAATGTAAATGATTTGACCTGTTCTGCAGTACCCGACTTGGTAGTTTCAATAGCAATTTCCAGCTCGTAGTCCTTTATGTCTAAAATAGGAACTGGTAAATGATTTCTAATGTAGAAAAATTCATTGGGAGTAAAAAAATGTTCTCCCAGAAGTTTCAATGGCGGCTCAGCATTGAACGGTCTAATTGATGCTGGCTTTAGGATAGGATGACGTTTAGGCTCATTAGCCCATGGTGAACCCATGTCGTTTGTGCTGACCTCATCTTCAGGGGAGAGATTGCCAATTCTATAAAGCTCTAAAAGCGTTAAAATTTCTTTATTATTGTGTTGCTGATAAATAGCCCAAAATGGATCGATTGCACTGCCGGCCCCCAACATAATCTTTTCACCACCTGGATGCTTAGCAATAAATTCTGTTATATCATATACGCCGACCCCATAGGTAACCCATACGCGATTCTCAATAGTACTGTGATTTTGAACATCGATTGTTTTATAGGTAGGTAAATCCGGGCGTGGTTTTGTATGCCAACTGGGTTTTTCATCATTGACTTCTGAGTTTAGTTCGCTCGTAGTGTTGATTTCATTGAATTTCACATTAAACAATTTATATTTGTGTTCGTACAGAGCAAAGCCAGCCACAGCACCTCCTAAAGCTAATAGTGCGTAAAAAACTCTACTTTTTTTCTCAGCGGGCTTGGTATTTTGGGTACTAACTAACCGATATTGTGGAAGGTATGATTGTATGAAATTTAAACGCCGCAATCGAAGTATCCGGTAAGATGCGTAAATTGAACTTTTACCGCGCGTCGGCAAAGTTTGAAACCATGTCCTTAGCATTTTGATCAAATCTGAAGAAATCTGAAAATAATGTTTCCGACTTTGTTATTTCCATCACATTTTTATATTTTCGCTTAAAGAATAATATGTATGTGGCGCTTTCAGTTTACATGTATGGTACATAAATGTGTTTTCACATATCGATGGCGGAGTGGAAGATTGACCTATCTCGGAAGCCAGTTCGAAAACGCACTGTCTCAGAAAACTTTTCAAGAACACCCTACTTCAGAATTTGATTGAAGAACGCCCTATTTCAGAATTTTATTGAAAAACACCCTATTTCAGAATTGGGTTCAAAAACGCCCTATCTCAAACGAAAATACAACTCGTACAATTTGGCCAGAATTCGGTGGCACACATTTTGTGCTTCGGACCGCCTTTGCAAGAATTAAATATGAGGCATTTGGCCGCGATGTGTTGAGAGACGATCACTTGAGCTCTTTGACACCCAACATGAAAACAGTAGTCTGAGTGGTGGTTTCTGCACGCGTTGTTTTGTGCCTGGTTCCGACAAAAAAAAATCGTACAGGAAAAAAATTTGAATTTATAGAATACATAAGGCATCTATTGTTACGCAAAGAGGGGTGAGCTTAGGGTTGCCAACATTTTCTAAGAAATGTATAGTACTTTTTCAAAAAAATCGGAGAAAATATAGAACACTTCAAATAAATATAGTATTATATTTAAAAGAGAAAATTAAAACGCTTTTTAAGTTATCATCAAAAATTTTAATTTATATAGAGAATATTTTATTAATATTATTCTATAACTAGAAAAGGTGCCAGCAACTGGGACCAGGCTGGTGAAAACTTCGATATATTTCCGATAAATATTAGAGAAGGCTCCGATTCGTTCGTCATTCGCATGGTAATTCGATCTGAATCACCTACAAATGATGTGATTCGCTCTCAAAATTTTGTTTGGCAAATTACGTAATTCGGAAGGTAATTGGCAAGGCGAATGACGAATGGGAGAGCGAATTACGAAGCGTGGAAACACCCTATAACGCAATCAATATTTAAATTAATATAAATCAAAAGTTCATTTTTATTAACGAAGTAGTCGCTTTGTTTCTCTCATTTCGCATTTGACATTCATAATAGAAAAACCTCTTTTTAGTTAATTAATTAACACATGATTACTACCTATTTTATTTGAGTAAAAACTTGTTGGTACTAAAATAAAGGTAATGCATTATAGCATCTAAAAAAAAATTCCATTATTTTATGAGCGTGGCATACCTACAAAGGGTAAATATGATAAATCTCGAACACTTTTGTACATGTGTGTATGTAAATGACACCAACTCATGGAGCATTTTCGTGTTCATTATATATTTATTTTAATTTAATGTATTTGTTTTTATCAAAACCCGGAGTTCAAATTAGTTAACACAAAAACCGTGAATTAAGTAATTCAAATTGTTCGAAAAGAAAAGGCACATCCAAAACCTTAAGTAAAATAACATTGAAGTTCGTCAAAATGAAAATAAGGCAGCACGAATATCAATATGAAGTAAAAATCTCTGGGAAGGCAATACTTATGAGCAGGGAACGGATTTCATGGAAATTGCCTTTTTTTCTGCTAAATAGATAGAGTATATTCGATTAAGAATATCCACGATTTAGCTTTCCCTGATTCCATATACACACATTTGATGTTGCCTTTTCTTGGATATTTGCCTTTCTACCTTTAACTGTATGTAAAGGGCAAGGAAGAAGGCGTTATTCCCGATAATTTGAAAGTTTAAACGTTCCATATTCAAATTGGGTGCCACTTGTATCAACCCACGTCGAGCGCACGTGCGGTACAATCAAGGCTTTTCTTCGCGAAAATCGAATCCGAACAACGTCTAATGGCGTTTTCGTTTCTACCTAAAAAAGTTACCTTCTATTTGCCCTCTACGCACAAATACTAAGAAAAGGGTCATAAACTAGAAAGAGGGTTTTTCTTAACAGCGGTCGCCCCTCCTCAGGCAAGGCAGATCTCCGAGTATATTTCTCGCTTGAAAAATAATGTAGATTGACGCTTACACATATGTTAGTCTTTGGCCAGCTTCTCCTCTGATTTGTGGCGTGCGCCTTGATGTTGTCACAATGTCAATTTTACGCCGACTCCGAACGGCGACTGTATTTTTATGAGAAGTTGTTTTTCATGGCAGAATTGCAGTCGGAGGTCTGCCATTGCCTGCCAAGATGCGACCGCTGTTAAGAAAAAACCTTTTTTCTATATTTTTTTGTGATGTTGCTTCGACCAGGGTCTGAACCAAGGCACTGCGGAGTGGTAGCGCGCACTGCTAACCACTACACAGCGGCCGCCCTCCCTTGAAAAAGCTTCTCTTAAAATTCATTTGTCGTTCGGAGGCGGCATAAAATTGTATTTGTGTTATAACATCAGAAGGCACACCACAAATTGGAGGAGAAAGTGTGAGCACCAAAATATTTTTCCTATTAATAAGGACTGCCCAAAATATTTTTGAGCTCAAATTGAACTCGCCCACAAGCTCCCAGGTATATTTTTTATTCCTCCGCTAACTAGCCTGTTTCTAGTTTTTTAACTAAAAAAAGTATTAATGTACAAGTCCCGAGCTGCGCTTAGGCAAATTTTCCGAATGTGTGTCTAAATGATCCAAAATTAGGACCAATATTATTAAAAATGGCCACGAAGGCACCATACAAATTAACTGCTTTTTCATGTTCCTGAGGAGAAGATGTACCAAACAAGCATTAGTAAGAAAATTATATTTTTTATTTGGTAATAAATGCTGCACTATTTACATACATATTTATAGTGGCGCTCAAAATAATAGCAGCAAAATTCAAAATGATACTGCAGGCAACTTTTCTTTATTTATTTATTGCTAATAATTTTCGTTTAAAATATGGGCCGATCTATATCAAATACCACATAAATAAAAGTTTCAAAGCTTTTTGTATCGCATTCAATTTTAGCATGAACAAAACTTACTTTTATATGGAGGAAAATGCGCAACACCCTCCACAAAAAAAATTCTAAAAAATCAACAGTAATTTGTAGCGACTTGAAACTTGCACTTTTTTACACTAAAATTGAATGGGCTACAAAACTGCATATCCGAAAATTTTCTAAAGTTTCGGATTAAAAAGTTTGAAATTTTGATGACAACTTTTTTAAGTTTGATAAATTTTTTTGAAACTTATATAAGCTTTGAATTTTTTATTTATGTGGTGTCTGATATAGATCGGCCCATATTTTAAACGAAAATTATTAACAATAAATAAATAAAGAAAAGTTGCCAGCAGTATCATTTTGAATTTTGCTGCTTTATTTTCAACGCCACTATATGTATAAAAATACTTTACTGTACTTATGTATATATACTTATCCATATACATATAGCGTACACATTTTTTTAATAAGTAATAAAATATTTCGTTTTTTAATTACAGTTTATTTTTTTGTCGTTAAACTGCAAATAAATACTACCAAATCACTTTCTAAAAATGCATGTTAAAAATGTAATACATAATAAATACGACTTCCAACCGAGAAAGTTGTTTTGTATTTCTCTGCCACTATAAAAAGATTAAATGAAACACACAACACTTATCAGTGGTCTTGAACTAGTTGAACTTGGCGATATAAAGCTCATAATATTGCTATGAGTTTAGAAATCATTTGCTTCTCTCTGGAATGGTGACACTCACAACTTATCTGATGAGAATTAGGAACGGGTGTGTCCCAACTAGTGTTGCCGCGAATCATTTTTAGTGGTAGCCAAATCCCTTTTAAAAAAGGACTAAAAAGATCTAAAAAAAATTGCTGTGGCTAAAAATGGCTCGAAGCACATAACATACCAGCAAAGAAGACCGAAATGATTCGTGCCAAAATTTCATAATTTTTCCACAAACATGGCTTTGACTCATATAGTGCAAGAGATTTCCGGTAGATAACTGAAAAAATCGAAACTACACTATCCAGAGAGTTACTCAAAAACACACAAAAAACTTCGTTAGAACCCGTTCGAGCATTAAGATGGATTTCATTCACAAAAACACCTACAGATGAATTATATATACGTTTGTACGGCGTCACGCCCTCTTTTCAAATAGCCAATTTTTCTCAATGAGTTTAAGATTAATTTCATATATCTCCACACCAAGTTCCAGTACTCTACCGTGAACATTTCTAGAGATATTCGGTATGAAAAATTCGGTTTGTATGGGAGGTGTCACGCCCCCTTCATACATCGAAAATTTTTTTAGCCTATAATAATCCTTGGGGCGTCTGAAGCAGGTGTCCGAAATTTCAAAAAAATCGGTTCGACGTTCTCGAGCTTTGCGAACACAAAAACTGCTTTCAAAATATATAATAGTATAGATTGGTATGAATCGATATGGTTTTGAAAAGGCTTAATTTCAAAACTAAATGTAAGGGGTTTCTATCTGTTTAAAATCTCAAATTGAGTTCAGGGGATAAATTAATTGAAAAAGTATGACAAGTGAGAAGTTTAAGGAAGTTTTAGTTTGAAAATATTCTGAAGATGGTTAAACAAATTTTAAAACTCCTGTTTTTGAATTGAGTTTTCTTGAAATAACTGTTAATCAATGAAGCAAGTAAAAATTTCATACACGAAGCGGGTAAGCGCGATCCAGTACATACATAAACCATATTTCAAACATGATCATTTACATACAGTTTCGATTATAAAAAGCGGGAAAATGTGATTTTGTATTTCGAAACTGTATGGTGGAAAGTGCGTTCTAATATCTATTTGATACACAAAAATTATCACGGCTGTACTTTTTGCTGATATATTACATACATATGTTCCATTTAGTTAAACAATATAAGAATATTGTAGTATGTACCACAAAAACGTATATTTTCTATAAAAATTCATAACTCAGAAAAAAAATCTTCGCTATTAGAGATTTGGGTTGATTGTAGTAAAAAAGTTTGAGAGAAAAAAAAAATACACTTTTTGAGAAATTAAATTTAAAAAAAAATTTGCACTTTTTGTTTATTGTTAAATAAAAAATTTTAAATAATGAAAATCAATAATTATATCATTCTATCTTGAAGTGACAAGAACTACTGACATTTGAGTAAAAACATTTTTGGAATCTATTAAATTTTGACAAAGTTATGGGCATTTAAAAAAAAATTCTCACTGTCAATTCGAATAATCGATTTTTGCCTGAAAAACAAAATCGCGTTAATTCGGCCGAAAAATTGTTCCGAGCCAAAAGAAAAAATACGTGTCTCATTATTTGCACCAACAAACAATGTATTTGAGTTTGGTACAAATTAAAAATCATGCTCGTACCTGACCGGTTGTCTGGAAATGGAAAGCATCACCTTAAAATTTTAAGCTGTTTATTCAGAATTTTTAGAAAATTTTTGGTTTGCAGTTTTGTAGCTCAAAAAAAAAAAATTAATAAAAATCAACGCAATTTTCCAGCGTCTTGACAATTGCACTTTAACCTACTGGAATTTAATGAGCTACAAAACTGCAAACCCAACCTTTTTCTAAAAATTCTGAATAAACAGTTTATAATTTTAGGATGCAATTGTTAAAGTTTGTAAAATTTTTGTAATTTTTGTACGCCGTTTGAAATATGGATTTATGCGGCGCTGCTTAGGTGATGTGCTAGACTTTCATAAAAAAATATAAACATTAAATAAACAAAAGAAAAATAGCCAAAACTAGTCAAAATGTCTCCTGACTTAATCAGCTGACCATAAGTGTATGTGGCATATGTGGGACAAAGTTTGATTTGATTCCTGGTCGAAGCACCAACCAAGTTTTTTCTCTAATAGCGGTCTCGTCGCTTCATAGCGAGGCAAACGAAGAACTATTTGTATGCTGTTACAACAACCGTTCCCACAACAGTCGGGTCTACGTAAGCGGACCGACCCAGATTTTTATCTGGCCAAGGACTGTCACTCCAGCAACACTCCCCAAAAACTGTTCTGTATGCTGTTACAACAACAACAACAACAACAACAACTATTTGCAATCCTTAAGTTATAGCCTATTTGTTCTAACCCAATAAACAATATATAGATATTTATTTCTTTTGGATGTAATAATTATATAATCTTACCTTTGCAGGCACAAGTGCAGCGAATAAAAAGGACAAAAGCCAAAAGAAGCAAACTCCTCAAAGTGATGATAAGCGGAATAAACGAAAAAAAGATGATACTATTGAAAAAATTGATGCTGGTGATTTTATTGTTGAAGTGGGCGATAAGCTGAAAGTTTACTATCACGAAAAGAAGGTTACTTATGAAGCGAAAGTTATCGAAATCACTTTGCAACGTGGTCCGCCGATGTATTTGGTACATTATACCGGTTGGAACAACCGCTATGATGAGTGGGTGCCACGTGAACGCATTGCTGAAAACATAACGAAAGGATCAAAACAAAAGGGTCGTACTATGAATTCAAGTTTGTCCGAGAAACAAAAAGAGAATCCTTCAAAACCTCCAACTGCTGCGTCGTTGAATTCCTCGGGATCTCCAAATTCCAACGTTAATGTTTTAAGCAACACAGCTAGCTCCACAAAACTGCCGGTTTCGGCGAAACGTGGCCGTGGTCGGAGTGATTCCCTACCCCCGCGTTCCACTACGCCCTCTTCGGTAGCATCTAACTCAAGTCGCACAAAATCTCCCGCGACAGCTGGTCTGAAAAAAAGACCAATTCGCACGACAACAAATACTGCTCGACGAACCTCGGCCAACATTTCTGATGTGTCTTTGCAAAGTGAATCTGAAACAGACTCCGATGAACCAGTCCGACGACCGACGCGTGCTACCAAAGAAATTGAGTATAAGTCAGGAAATGTAAGTGTTAAAGGAACAATAAAAAACAAATTATCTGTATCAGCTGGAAATAGCCAGTCGGATACAGATGATGACCGCGATGAAGGTGAGTCATCAACCATTTTAGGAGCAAATAATAGCTCTTCCCACACCTTAAACTCTAAAGGCCGCAGCTATGATCTTGGTCAAATACGTTCAGAATTAAGAGGATTCCAGGGATTGAAGTCACCCTCTTCATCAATGGCAGGAGATGATGAAATTTTATCAGATGTTAAAGCCGAAGAATCTTTGAATAAAGATGATAACAATTTCGATACTAAACATGTTGTGACTACTGATAATAACCCGTTAAGTGAATCAAATGCTATGGTCGTATCCGTGAAATGTGACCAGAAACAAGATTTAAAAGAAGAAGTTTTAAAATCTTCCACGGACATTTCTTCTGAGACCGAATCTTTCTGTGACGACGATTCACAGTCATCGGGAAAAACTACGACCCTTGAAAACATGACGAAAAAGTTTCAACAGAAAATAAAAGCAGGTAAACAACAAGCCTTAGAAAAACTTCCTTGTGGAAAATCTACGGTGGAGAGAGTACCAAAAGTTGTAGAGAAAATAATACAGGATTCCCTGGCAGAAAAGCTTCAAGAAAGCCTCAAAACAAAGCCGGATATTAAACAAGAAGAAATCTTAGAAAGAAGTACTAGTGACACTGTTACATGTAAATCGGAAACTGATAAAAAAGAAGAGTGTAAAGTTAGCACTATACATACCACCGAGCTATTGCAGAAGGCAACTGCCAATAATCCGCCTCGATTCGCCGGCATAATTAGCACTAGTAAATTTACATCTGTTATTGAAAAACCAACGAGCTCTATCAAGAAAACAGATTTTGCTACCAGCAAGAAGGCGGACGTAATAAGGAAAGGAACCGCAGACAATTTAGAATCACAGTCGAAAAAACTCTTGGAACCATTGCTGAAAGAAGTGAATAAAATTGAACCGTCAGCAGCATGCTCACCATCCTCGTCTTCTTCATCGTCTTCGTCGTCATCGACATCGTCATCGCGTTCGTTGCCTGACATGAGTAAGCTTGATATTAGCGGTGGTTCTTCTACTTCCTCAACGTACTCAATTTCCAATAAAGAGTCTAAACCGGTCAAGGCGACATCACCCGATATTTACGAGTTCAAAGATCCAGAGCCATTTGAATTTGAAATCCGAAAATTGTCAACCACAAGCACAAATGCTTCCCCACTAAATTCGAGTAATGTAGCCACTAGTCCTCGAAAGCAAGCTCAGAAAATAGGAGTGCAACAATTAGTTGTTAATGAAAAAACACAACCAGCACAGAGTCCAATTGCTGCCTTGGTGAATCGCAAAAAAAAGGGGTCGCCAATGAAGGAAGCTGCATTGGACAAAGCCAAACTTCTGAAATCTGATGAAAAAACTACAGTCATTTTAGAAGGGAAAATGGTTCAAGCTGGCTCTACAATGTCATCCGCAATGAAAAGCAGTTTAGGTAGCCAAACAAAATTGCTGTCACTAAATCCAATATCTTTAGACCAAAACAAGTCAGGATCACAGAAAACCGCCGACATTTCCATAAATACGCCATTTGATGCGTTGCGAAAATTGCCCAATTTTAATGTAAACATGAATGCGTTAAACGAAGAACTGGCACAAACAGTTCAGGAAACAACGAGGGCATTAACCGATGCTTTCCCAGCGCCAAGCGTGCCTTCTTTGCACGAAGTCACTGCTGGTCCATCAAGACTTGAACCGTCTAAAGAAACAGAAATAGGGAACATGGTTACCCCTCCTCGCAAGCATACACAAACAAATGCTTCTACACTGGTTAGCCCTGTTCCGGCTGTAGCCAAGAAAACGGTAATTGGTAGCCCATTTGTAGAGACTCGTAAAGACCTAAGCAACGTTTTTGAGTTGAGTACAGGGGAAGGGTCAACCACAATTGGTGAATTGAAAGATAATAAATTAGAATTCGAAAACGCAAAGAAAATGCTTTCAGCAACTGCGGGTGCCTTTGATTTGGACCCTTCAAAATACGAGAACAAACCAACATCTATAGCAGATAAACTTTTGAAAGCCATCAGTCAAAAAAAAGAGGAAGATAAACATAGAGTGGAACCAAAAAGTGAAAAAGTTGAGGAGAGCGGGACCACGACAGATGCAATGAATACTATTGTGAAAAATACTTCGAGTGTTTTACCTCAAATTACCAACGTTTCTGTCGAACCCTTGAATATTGATAGCGATTTGCCTGGATCCTCAATCAGTTATTTAAATAGCAGTAAAAGCTTGGCTTTAGAAGCTGTACCCCTGATACCTGTATCAATAAAAAAGTCGGTAGCTTATACTAATTCTGAACCTAAGTTGGGAATATTAGAGTCGATTGCAGTTAAAAATAACGACCTAACGGAGACAATACAAAAACTCGAGTGCGCTATTCAGCGGAAAACGCCAGTTACTGGGCTTTCAGTTACAACTACACCGACGTCAAGCTTGGCCCCTAATACATTTTCCGAGGACTCAATGGATAGCACAGATTCCGAACGTCGGCTTGTTATTGAGGACGTAGCAGATGACCTATGTGATATGCTTAAAAGTCCCACTGGCTCACGTCATATTGGAGGAGAATTAAAGATATTGCAGACAAGTGCGATGCCACAAAAAATAGATATCAGCACAACTAAATTAATGTCAAACAACCTTGCTCCACACGCAGGCGTCCAAGCCCCTATACCTTTGAAAGTGGTACAACCTAGTCGATCGCAATCTGAGTTATTTCCATCCACTACACAGACTACTTACGTGTCTGCATCAAATAAAATAGTAGAAATACCGCCATCATCGTCAACACAAGTAGCTACAATCGGAAAAACTGAACAGGAAACTACACAACTAATATATATGGAGGCGCAAGAAGAGCACAAAGTAAGGAGCGAGATTACTTCATCTTCGATTGGAGAAAATAAAGGACCTTATTATAAAGAAAGTATTTGTCCAAGAGATAATTTCAGCGGAAAATTAACTGAAACGGGCAACGACGCATCTCCAACGATGAATGCTGCTACAATTTTATTCACAAGCATAAAAACATCAAAACAACAGATTCAGAGAACAGCTGATGTTGTGCCAATTATTGTACCGGACATTCCAGTATCTGTTGTGGTGGCTTCCGGCGCAGTTCCATCAGTTAAGGCTGCGGCTCAAGCTGCGGCTGCAGCAGCAGCACAGAATTCATCCGAAGCATTCAAATCGGCATTAAAAGCCGACACCAAAGGAAGTTCTGCCACATCTAGAACGTCTTTGTCGTCAGTTATGTGCAGCACTTTTGTTGAGCCATTGGTATCCGATGAAAACGCAGAGTCCAAAGCAGCTCAGGATACGGGTGTCAATTTTAATATAACCGCTAATTTAGCAGCTTTAAATCCACCTGCAACGGTTGCATTTACTCAATTGTCTGCCATATCAGCGAATTCTGGATTTTATTTGGACCCTCGCACAGAACTGCGTCCCGAAGATGGCGTAAAACCCATTGTAGATACTCAGCGTACAAATCCCGAACTGGAATGTCTAAATGAAAAGGAAGTTGTGGGAGGTTTATGCGCGGAAGAGTTAGCGTCAAATTTATGTATTGATGCAAATAACGATTCCATAAATTTGCTTTGCGAAGAGACAATTCCAGGCAGTCCAGCACCTGCTTTTGGCGGAAAAGAAGAACACTCAACAACACAGCAAATCACGGAAAGTACTCTGGTGTTGGAAACTGACAATAAAGATTTACATAATAATACTAATCCGCTTGAGATTACGAGAACAAATGTTTTGATTGCAAACATCAGTAGTTCTCCAAATGATTCGGCGAGTCAAGATGAGAATTTGGATTTAGAAAATGAAATATCGCCTAGGAAACGTCGACGAACTAGGAAACAGTCGGAAATGGCAATCATCACAGAAGGACCGACGAAACGACGAAAACAGATGGGATGTTCGAAAAAGAACCCAGGTCAGTAGGACTTTGAAATCTATAGACACAATTTTATTATTCCTTTATTTCCACATGTGATAAACAATATTAGTACGTTAGTTTTCTGGTAATTGTTTTTTTTTTAGAATTTTGCGCATATAAAATAATTCTTATATTTGAACTAATTAACTTGTCTTTCTGTCGTTAAAAAAAAAAACTTTTTAATATTTACCCGCAAAATAGGCGAAATCACTCGTAGAAATTAGATTTCGCAGTCACTCTACAACAGGGCTGCTCAAAATATTTGTATTGTAGTGAAATCCCACCCAGCCAGCAAAGAAACGTAAATTTTGCCGACAGTGCAGTTTAGTTAAATTTTCCGTATCCGAATACGCATAAAAAAAAACTACAGTTATCATCAATTTTCGTATCTGGAAAACGTTCGAAAAAGGTGATGTCATTTGAAAGCAATAACTGTATTTTATTTGCTCAAGCTAAACATTTGAAAGCATGCATGGCGTGGNAACGTAAATTTTGCCGACAGTGCAGTTTAGTTAAATTTTCCGTATCCGAATACGCATAAAAAAAAACTACAGTTATCATCAATTTTCGTATCTGGAAAACGTTCGAAAAAGGTGATGTCATTTGAAAGCAATAACTGTATTTTATTTGCTCAAGCTAAACATTTGAAAGCATGCATGGCGTGGTCGGCAGTGGCTCGCGTGCAGAGGAGTGTGCCGCTAATTGTTAGCTTCCAGAAGGTGCCGGGTTCGAATTCCGTCAGGCGCTTCGTAATTTTATTTTATTTCTTTTGAACGATGAATGGATCATTAAAGTATCCGGAAATGGAATCGGTAAACGGGCAAAAATCCGGTTATCATCGACTTTTTTCCGTTTTCGGATTTTTTGCTGGCTGGGCTCATGGTACAATAACTGCAGGCATTGTCTTCCCAGAGAATTTTGCTTCACATCGAAATTCGTGCTCCCTTAATTTCATTTGGACTTAGTTCAATGTTGATTCTTTTACTTTTATTTGGATTTGCTTTTTGTTTTCGCTCAATTTAATTTTTATAATTTTTTGAAAATACTGGTTCCGTACGTCATGCGGACTGCGCCCCTCGTGCGGATGGGCGGGAATGGAGGGTAAAAACCGTTGGGTTTATTAATAAAACAAAAGCAAAAACGTTGGAAATTAAGTGAGCCATACAATTTTGAAATTATTTACAAGCAAATGTTTTTTTTCGGCTTTTGCAAATTAAATAAGTCCTATGCAAGAAGGTTTGTTTAAAAAATACGTGTACATATATGGTGTATGGGTATCCCTTACAATATCGCTTTTCCATAGCAGTAAACCTTTTAGTGTGGGCGACAATGATGTTTTTCAAATAAGGCAGATCGGAATATGTACTCTCTGGGAAGACAATACCTGTAATCATTGTACCCAACCTTTTTTTTGTAATTTAAATGAAGCTAAAAAGTACAAGTTTATTTTTATTGTACGATTAGCGAATGAAATTTGTTAACAATGGGTGTATTTCCATATATGTGAAATAATACAGTGCGTTAAGAAACGATAGCGACATAGTGGCTGAAAAGTTCCAAAATTTACGTAAGTCAACCTACGTTTACGCTAGGTCGTTGACTAACTGCGCTTTAACAGGGAAAAACGTGTCGAACTCACAAAAGTACATTTACGAGCTACGCAAATTCTGATGTAAAGAGATCGAAGATGCACAATTTAAACTTAAGACAAGCGCTCCACTTGTTAAAGCATGTTCACATTATCGTAATTTACGGCCCATTTGTAATTTATAAGCAAATCATTTTGAAATCAAGTAGTTTCGCCTTGTAAAATCCGTCTATAAATTAAGTAGAAATGAGATAATTTATCATAAATCAAGAACACAACGAAGAAAAAAAAAACGTCTACGACCTTATTTTGCATGGCTACTGATAGCCGACGGCCAACCATACGCTAAAATTCGCCTTACGTATGACAACTGGCTACTGACCGTCGGCTATTGAGTCTACATAGAAACGCAATTTTCTGTTTCCCCGATTATGACGACTTTGTTATTTGTTTACATAATTTACACGTTGGAGCAAAGTTGCCGATTACTTCGAAATGTACATTTCAAAAAAGTAAATTCGGATGTTGTCTGCGTTTTGCTGTATACCGAGATTAATCGCTATACATAATTCAAAGTATGATACTTGTAGCCACGGTTACTAGACCAGCAACTAGACACCAGTTGCCATACATAATAGGGCTACAAGTAATTTATGCTGTAACGTGATTTGCTCATAATGTTCTCGTGCTGATTATATATAACGCCCCAATTCTGGTTGTAAATCCAACACAGAGTGCGCATCTTAATCCGATTGAACACTTATGGAATATGCTCAAGACATGGTCCAAACACACAAAGTAAAACCAAGACTCCAACTGAAAGACTATCATCTATTAGTAGACAGAATACCAATTGTTTTACTTGTTTTGTTCACGATTTATGGTATACGCAGATATTTGTGACCATTATTTCTACGAAATGGATTTTAGGACTTTGTATAGGCAAGGATGACTTCCATATTAGAATATTATTAGTTTATAAGGTTATTCCATAAATTAGCCAATTTTTCTAAACAAGCTGAATGTATGCAGAATATTGTGGAACACAGTATAATTTATTTAAATTGAAATTTATTTATAGCTGGTTCTGATAGCGATGAAAATTCGGATGGTACATCGCAGCGCAGCACTGTTCCATCTCGACACCAATTCCAACACCAACACCAACAGCTCCAGCTTCAACACCGACTTACATCAGTTGGAACTCGACCTTGTCCGTATAATTTCTTAGTCCAATTAGGTAAAATTTTTGTTGAAATGTGTAAAATATTTTGTTTAAAACAATCTCTACTAAAATAGATCCCAACATGGGCTCTGACCAGTGCATTGGAATTTTATTGAAGCAGATTCAAGAATTACGCAAGACATACAACGCTATCAAAGGTGACCTAGCAAATATTGATCGAAGGCGCAAAAAATTACGTCGCCGAGAAAGAGAGAAAAAGCAACAAGTGCAGAGCCAGCAGCAAATTAAAAGTACATAATTATATATGACATCCTATATATGTATGTATGTCTATTAATCAATTTAATAATCCATGTTGAAAATAAAGATTTTCATTATTAAGATAATACAAACTAACATGACAATTGTTTTTTTTTTGTTTTAATTTTAAATGCAAACCTTTATTTGTTAAAAGAGTTTTCAAAAACATTAGTAGCAATATTTTTTATGACACCGAATAACCTCCTTCCAAATTCAAATGATGGCCATTCACGAAACTTGACTTGCCACTTAATAAATAAGTTATCCCGTCAACTACTTCTTGTACCTCGCAAAACCGGTGTAGTGGGATGTGCGCCAGCAAAGGACCCGATTTATCGGGGTCGCTCCAGTTGTCACGACCCATTTTTGTCAGCACAACGGTTGGATTAACAGAGTTAACTCGAATTTGTTTGGCTCCCAGTTCCAATGCTAATGAACGTGTAAGGGAGTCTACAGCAGCCTTGGATGCACTGTATATTGTATGACCAGCAAATGACCGAGAAGCAGCTAACGATGACACCATTACAATGCTTGAGCCTTTATTGAGCTTTGGTAAAAGAGTTTGTGTTACGTTGAAAACTGCCTTGATATTAATATCAAAAGTTCTGGAGTAGACAATTTATGGTAAAAGAATAAATGCAGCATTAATATATGTATTAACAAAAATTAGAGTCCGGCCGATTCCCCATTTTTGGCCGATGCCGATTAATCGGCCTTAGGGCAAAGAATCGGCCGATGCCGATGCCGATTCCTCAAAAAAACTACCTGAATATAATAATAATATATGTTTTGCTTTTATAATAACAAACGGAAAACATAAAAAAACAACAATACAAAACAAATAATCATTCACGAATCCATTCACTTATTTATGTATATACATAAATATGTATTAAAAGTAATATATCGCCTATGCATACATATCATTGCAATACTTTGTTCCATAGTCTTTTTCTTATTCAATGTTAAAAAAAAAAATAGTTCATTCCAAATCACAATGTACTCACAGTAAAAATATGCGGCATCTGCTGACTATAAAGGTGTTGTATTGAATACAATTTGTTAATAAACAGTAACCGTAGATTTTTAATGATAAAAGTATTTTTGTTACGTAAACAATTTAACTATTCAATGAAAAGAACCCGAAGGATTTAGGAATTCAGCGATTAGTTCAAGGATAATCGTAAAAAAACTTACAGTAACGACATTTTAGCATTCTTTGGCTATTTCCCTTTCGTTTATTTAATGCTTCTTAATTTGTATGAAAGGGTAGGTCCTTATCTAACAAAAACAATGCTAGTAAAAATTTCAATTTTTTTTCTGAGTATGCAGTTTTTTAGCCCATTCAATTTTATTTTAATGAAGTGCAAATTTTAAGTAACTACGACTTACTATTGATTTTTGGATTTTTTTTTTGTGGAAGGTGTTGCGGATTTTCTCCATACAAACAAATTTTCCTTACCTTACCTAGCTACTTCTAACTTGCACTTTATTATACTAAAATGTAAAAAACTGCGAACTCAAAAAAAAAAAAATAATCTAAAAAATCTGATTAAAGAGTTTCAAATTTTGATGAAAATGGTGGAAAAAGTAAAAAGAATCGGTCAAAAACGGCCGATGCCGATTCCTTTGGCCGATACTTGCCGATGCCGATGCCGATTAATCGGCCGGACTCTAAAAAATACATTGTATTTTTAATTTTCATAAGTTATTACTCATCAAAATCCTGCTCGGTTAATTCATCGAAGGGCTTGATAATAGCCACGCCTGCGTTGTTCACCAACCCATCTATTTGCGGAAGTTGCGAAAGAGTTTCTCGTGCACTTTGCCAATTTGTAAGGTCTATTGATATAGTTTTTATGGCTGAGCAACTGTTTTTAAGTTCTTCTAACTTATCCGCCGACTTTGAAAGCGCAATAACTTTGGCACCTAATGCTGACAAATGTTGACATAGAGCTCTTCCGATTCCTGTTTACATGTAATTTGGTGTTGTGATAGAAATTAAGCGAGAAAATTGGCAATGTATACCTTGGCCAGCTCCTGTCACGACAATTACTTTGTTTACCAAGTCTGCCATCTTCTCACGTTCACACAAATCGAGAGTATTCCTCACTTCTTGATAAGAAACTGTAAACTGACGTCAATTTGATTGCAGTACAAGTATTTTATGATTCTGATTGCGGACAGAAATGCGCTAGATGTGATTCGTTGGCCGCTATCACCTAAATCACAGAGCAGTACCTCTGGCGGTAAGTTATCTATTTTATATAAAAACAAAAATTATTGCATACATGCTTATTCTATAATGAAAGCTTTAAAGTTTACGAAAGCTTCGTAAAATATTAATTCCGTGATTTAAGGTTTGATTTAAGGTATAAATCTGTGTTCGTATGGAATAGTAGCTTATATTGGAAGGCCGGCTTTAGTATAATGAACCATTTGAAGCAAACGTTGCGAATGACTCACTAGCCGTTGAAACGTTGGCAAATGAATGTGCAATAAATATCTCCGATACAAGCAAGGCAATATTCTTATTAAGTTTCGCCAAAAAATGCCTTGTGTTTTAAAGAATAAAGGGAATGGTGCATTATTCTAAAGCCAGTCTTCCGACATAAGCTACTATTCCATACGTCACTAGACACGAATAAAGGCCCGCTGGCGTTTTGAAAGCGAAAAAAGGAGCGTGAAAAAATCTAACGGAAAAAACGCTAAAGAAAAGCTTCAGCGAAGAAAGACGCGTAACCTATTTGACGGCGAAGAAAGACACGTTAACATAGACTTATACCTGGCCAAGGACTGTCGCTTCAGCATCATTCCCAAAATCTCTTCGCGGAATGTACATACTGTTACACCCGCAAACATAGCTAACCGCGAAGTTAAGTTTAAGCGTCTTACTTCGCCGTCAACTATTTTAAGAATCTTTCTTCGATGAAGTTTTTTTCTTATGCGTCTTTTCGCGGTCAACTTTTGAGCTCGCGCCTTTATTCTTGTCTAGTGACGATATATTATTCCGACGAATTGATAACCTCCTTTTTTGAAGTCGGTTAAAAAGTAAGTATGACGTGCGTAGTACGCGCACAGTGCAGGTCTCTGATCGCTACCTTAATCCACAAACGCCAAAACCAACCGCCAAAATCTGTGAAAACGCAGTTTCGATGTTTTTATTACGCCCATATGAATTAAGGTGATATATTGATCAAAGTCAGAATGAGAGATATATGTACACGCGTATGCTCGGTTGATTGTCCTTTCGAAGGAATTCACAAAATAATATTTTCGTAAAATCTTCAAAAAAAACATTTACTAAATCCGAATCGCAACTGATGTATTCGGATTCAGTGATAGCATTACATCGATTTTACGAAAAAGCAGGGCTCGAATAGTAACATCCGTTCACGGATCGAAAACGATACGAACGAAAATTACGTGATACGTCAGGCTGTATAAGCTGAATGGGACAAAGAGTACGTGCATGTATGATATAATCCGAAAAATGTGTTTTTACGTGCCGAGTAGTACGATATCGTAAGTGACGATTCGAGCCCAGACTATGATGTATTCAGCAATATTCCTTAATATTCACCCAACCACCCTTATAAATCTAGAAAACATCTTTTGGCTTTCAACGAAAACCGTTTTTTATTTTTGCATTTTTATACAAACTACAATTTAATTCAATTGGTGATATAGAAAATTAATAGAAGTGCTTTCCCCACTTCGGTTACTTGCTACAAATACATATTTAACTGCTTAATTTCATAAAATACGCGGTTAGCTCTGTTTATGTTCATAAAGAATAAGTAATTTTTGTTTATGAATGTAAATAAAAAGTGCACATTGCATTGATACATATCCATGTATATGCCATAGAGTTCAATCAAATTTATACGTCTACCTTATAAATAAATACATATTTTAATACAAATAATTAAACTTATTTTATATAAATCAGACAATAAGCGAAAAGTATCTGATGAAAAATGAACCTGTCTGAAAATTCAGAAAATTTGGTCCTAAATGTTTTGATCTGAACATTTTATTTAGCAACTTCTTTTTTAACCAAATGTAAATAAGCTTATGCCTGTCAATTTAAGACATTCTTACATGTAGTACATTTTTATTAATTTTATCATATAATTAAGAAAAAATGGTAAATATATTATTATGGATATAGATGTTGTGGCTTAAGCGCGTTCTCCTCTGATTCGGCGAGCCAACTGAATGTCTTTCGGCATAATGGTTACACGTTTGGCATGGATAGCGCACAAATTGGTATCCTCGAAAAGACCTACAAGGTATGCCTCAGATGCTTCCTATAATCAATAGATTGAAATCCTTTATGTACAATGGTTTTTAACTATATCTATTGCTAACTTACTTGCAAAGCACCGATGGCAGCAGATTGAAAACGCAAATCAGTTTTGAAATCTTGGGCGATTTCACGCACTAAACGCTGAAATGGCAATTTACGAATCAGCAATTCGGTGGATTTTTGATAACGGCGAATTTCACGCAAAGCAACAGTACCAGGGCGATAACGATGGGGTTTCTTTACGCCACCCGTGGAAGGAGCAGATTTACGAGCTGCCTTGGTTGCGAGTTGTTTGCGGGGAGCTTTTCCACCGGTCGACTTACGTGCAGTTTGCTTAGTACGTGCCATTTCTGTTTAAGATTAGCTGAAAGTATAAGAAAACATTTTACATTTTTTTATTCTATACATTGTTTGTTGTATAAAACTAACCGATATTTGGAACTGGTGTTATATAAATATATTTTGTTTCTTTTTTTTCCAAATCAAGATGTTTCTATATCACTTCGCGCCAAATACCCGCGCAATAGTCCCGCCAAAATCTTACACAGGTGTGTAGTTGTAAAATATAATTATTAATTTTATTCAGGGTTATCAAAAATTAGCATTACGAAGCATTCATAAAACTCGTCCCGCTACAAAACCTATAGTCTACCAATAAAAGCGAAATTTAACATTTATTTTTAAGAAAGCAATTCTTAGCTCATGAGGGGGAAAAATACGTCACCGCCTGCAAAACAAAACGAGCGCGCTGTTCGTTTAAGTATACACACAATCCAGCTTTTTCACTCATACTTGTACACATGCTTACGAATTAAAATCGCAGAAATTATTTAACATGTAGATTTCTATGTTTTGCTATTATTTGTTTTGCCTGGTATGTAAGTAGGTGCAAAACAGGTTTAATTTTTGGAACTAGCCGAAATATTAAAATTAAATGTAGTTTTTCCTCCCCATTGATTGCCTGACTAATAAACCTTACACATTAGATATTGCAGAACGGCCTATTCATAAGAAGTTGCTAAGAAAGTTTTTTTAAGTTCTAGTATACATGATTATTACGGAATTCGATTTGACTTGCATTTACAATCACTTAATTTAATAAAGAAAAACCAAGCATCACCAACGCTAATCGGCCGCCATTTTGGAAAAGTCCAACACCAAACCAACTACACAAATTACCCTGTGTATACGCCATTTGTATGTATCTAGTGAAAACTAAAATGCCCCTCAATGTGCTATATGTATATTTAGTTAAACAATGAATTTGAAGTGCCCCCATTTTCTGTTGAACAAAAAAAATAATATTGATAATATACTTACACTTTTTTCTTTTGCTGATTTAGAAGTTTTAAATAAATTGAACTTTCACAACTCACGAATGTCCTACTCAATCACCGACTGATTAAACAATGAACTTTGGATGAATTTCGTTCAATCTACTTCAGGGATGATCAGATATATCGCATACGGTATTAGAACGTAAGAGCGCTGTCACACGGTCAGTAATTATCACGATATTTGGATCGCGATCCATATTGATGGATTGATGGATCGCGCACGAATGCTACTCGCTCAATATTTATCGCGTCTGTATTTGCATAATTTTTGTGCTGTACGCTTATTATGATGCAGGAAAATATTTTCATTTTGTATGAATAATTTGCAGATAATGCATTCCACTATTTTTTTTTAAATTTCCCGTGTTAATTAAAATTTTCTCAATTTGTTCATCCATCTCACCGTCTCCACAGGATAAAGTTTATATCTTGATACATATGTAAGAATATAAATAGTCAATGGAGACCGCACCGAGCTTATATCCTGCCATCTATTGCTGGCAATTTTCATCTGCACGAAAACTTCGTGGCGGCAACGTTATTGATATTTTGATATAAAAGCAAAAATTGAGCTATTTTTAATTGAAATATTTTTTATTATGTTCTTGTATGTGAAATAGCCCATTTTCTAAATATTTTTAAGTGATTAAATCCGGCAAAAATACGTTTTAGAAGCTATCTCACAGATGCTTATATCAAGATATAAAAAGCCGACACAAATATTGCCACTGATATAACTTATATCTAGTAACCAAAATGACAGCTGGACAGCAATAAATTTTATGCTGTGTCAAGGAGCGAACAACATTGTTGCCACTTGTTTGGCATAATTAAATAAAAATGATCTGAAACCCAACGAAAGTCAAATGGCATTTAAACAACAATCTAAAATTAAACTTAAGCGCCCTTAAATATTCATTTGAAATTGGCCCTAACGAACTCGTACTTTTATAAATTGACAGGAGGATGGAATTTTGACCTTCTTATTTGTTTGGCGGCCTAATTCCGTTTTTTGATCGCGGCCTCACTTCACTTTCTAAAATGAATTATTTCCGCGCGGCCTAATTCCGTTTTTTGATCGCGGCCTCACTTCACTTTCTAAAATGTATTATGCCCGCGCGGCCTAATTTAAATTTTTGATTGGTTTTGATTGGTAGAATTAAATTATCCGCTTAAAACACAAATAAATTTTATTTTTCATTTGGTCGACAAATCAAACCACAAAATAATGAAAGGTTTTATCTGCAAAAGGTTTTCCGCGCCCCTCTTCTTCGGCAATACAGAAAGGAGAATTCTACTTAGTGAGGGTTATACTAAGCGCGGCCAAAAAAGGTTATTTAAGAAAAAAAGTATTATTTTTTCCATTTTGGTATTTTTTGCTTATGCCCGCGAGGCCTATTTTTACTTTTTAATCACGGCCTAATTTCACTTGGCAAAATGAATTATGCCCGCGCGGCCTAACTTCATTTTTGGATCGCGGTCTTCATACACGCGGCCATAAATGAAGTTAGTCCCCTTTCAGACACGGCAAGTCTTGAAAGCAATTTTTTTCGCATTCTCTTTTGTGTTTTCTATTTGCTTCCACACGCGTCAACTTTAATTGAATTCAAGTCCTTGGTTCCTAAATGGGAAGCAACGAAAAGATCAAAAGAGACAAGAAAACTTGAAACGAATTGACGGTACGGAGGTACGGAGCCGCGAATATTTGGTTAGCCTGTAACTTAATTTTTGGATCGCGGTTTGGATTGGATGGAATTTCGACCGCGTGGGAAAACCGGCACGTAGTGCTTGAACCCGGGCCCTGCGGAGAGGTAGCGCGCACTGCTAACCACTGCACCACAGTGGCCACCAATATTACTGTGCCCTAAGGGCCGGTTGTTCAATCTCTGATTGGCACATTGGCTCCATGCATATAACATGGAGTCGGTAACGTCGATAACGATGTTTTACCGGAGATTAGTGTTAACCAGACATTGAGTAACCGGCCCTTAGAGTCTGTGCTAATCGGTAACTTTTTTCTCCGTGGTGATTCGGGGTGGAAAAATTTGCTATGGTGTACAAATAAGTGGAATTTTGCTGTGCCAAATGCATAGTAAAATTTTGACAGTTGAAAAACTAAACAAACATGCGCGAAACCTCTATTTTTTTGTGTTGCTGAAATTGCTAAAATTTATAACGTCCGCTTTTTTGTAGTTTTTCAGCTTTCATTTTCATGTTCACTCTTTATTACCGCCAAGCAGTATTATGAGTATATTTACATGTTTATAAACTGTCAAAATTTGACCTAGCCCCATTAGCTAGATAAAAATTATGACGTTCGTATTCACCACGATAAATGTCAAATTTTTACTTTGATCCGTAAAAATTTGCTCTTTTCTATCAATTGGCACAGGCCATCAACGTGAAAAATGCCTCTTTACCGCTAGTCGCTATAGAGGCATTATTACTTTTTCTGGGTCTTCATCGCCACTACTGAATTCAGACATGGCACGGGCATAAATTTGGCATAATTATTAGAAACGTGATATGTAACTTAAGTTTTGTGTGTAGGCTCAGTATGCCACATAAATAGAAGAAGTAAAAAAGAAAAGAAAAATTTGAGGCGTGGCACGCCCACTCCACTCATACAAATACAAATAGTGATATAATTCAGCTGCAATTTAATTTAATTAATAAGATAAATATTGCAATATGGGCAACAAGCTGAAGATGTTTAGAAAAGTTTTCTGCCGAAAATATTTTTGAGGGCTGCCACCTGTTTGAAAATTTCTATTTAATTAAATTGATAAAATAAATTAAATATTGGCATACGGGTATCAAACAACACAAAAATACAAAAATACGGTTAAAAAAAATAAATTTTGGGCAAGACGAAGTTCGCCGGGCCTGCTAGTTATTATTGTATTATCAAAGTTCATAAAAATAAATGTATTTGCTACATAACATTACCTACTATGCATACGGTGACCATATTTATGAGAGCCAAATACGGGACAAAAAATAATTTTTCAAATTTGTTCCACAACAGCTTACAGATCTTAAAGCCTTCTTCAATGATTCTAGATGTATTAGCCCTGAAACAGTATCCCTATAGTAACAACACAAATTTGTAGGATAATTTTCTCGCGATTTTTACCCCGTGAAATCTGTTAAATTTTAGTATAATAAAGTGCAATTTTAAATCGCCAAGGCTTACCATTAATTTCTGGATTTTTTTTTTGTTGATGGTGTTACGCATTCTTTTCATACAAAGTAAGTGGGTTTGACCATTTTTTTTAAAAGAGAAGCAAACGAGCAGCTCTTTCCACTCGCATTTTATAATACTCAATTTTAATGAGTTACAAAATTGCCAACCAAATTTTTTTCTAAAGATTCTAATTAAAACGATTGAAATTTTTGTGAAACCTTGCAGAATTAATTTTTATAGATTTTTGCACAAAGTTGAAAAATTTTATTATATGGTTTTTGTTAGGAACAGAACTTTACTTAAATAAAATAAATAATAAACATTAAATAAACCAAGGAAATATAGCCAAAACTTACTAAAATATCGAGTCCTAATTTCTATTTTGGTCACTGTATGTATTCCTCGATTCGAATCACAGGCAGGATAAGAAAATAACTGTTTATGGAGAAGACTGGGATCATATACCAACATCACTTAAAACTCGTTCATAGGCATGCAGCTCATTAAATGTAAAGGGGTCGAAACACCGAATACGGGACAAATACAGGACATTAAGAGAAATACAGAACATTTAGCGTCCCGTATAAAATAAATAAATTGCCAGGACAATGGGTCAAAAAAGAGGACTGTCCCGTATAATACAGGACGGATGGTCACCGTAACTATGCACAGAAAATTTACTTTGACTACAATTATTTTATGAAATTGAGATTTTTTTTTGTTAAGATGAATACCTTTTTATGTGTTTTGTATTTTATGTGCGCTTTAAAAGTGATTATTTTTTGAAAAAATCAATTTACTTATTTAAAGTAATTCGTTGGCTTCGGCCGGACTCCTTCGGTCGGACTCAAAAGCGTAGCCATTTAGATCTTGAAGCCATGGCGAAACAAATTTTATAAGCTTATCCAAAAAATCAGGTTCTATTAACGATAAAACAAAATATCTTTATTACTTGAATGAGTTTAACTACCCTAATAAATTTCTTTAGAAAAACATAAATACGTATGTATAATTTTTTATTAAAATTCGTCTTCCAATTTTTATTTATTGAAAATTAATATGAGGAAATACAAGATTAAAATAAAACAGTATAAAAAAGCAATAAATAAAATGCATAAATGTATATATATAATTATGTATGTATCTATTTACATATGTAGATACGGAAGCTTTTTGTATAAGCTTTTTTTATTGCATTACATACTTAAATATACATATATTATTTATAGTAAGTAGATAGATACATATATGTATACTATATGTACGCACATATGTAAATATTTACACAGATTTATGTAGTTAAGCATATGCCGTGAATGCATATACTTATGTATATCTATGCACATAAGTACATTCATATGTATGTATGCACATAAATTATTTCAATAATGTGCACAATGCAAAAAGCAAAAAGTTTTTTCTCAATTGTTTTCGTTGCTATAAGCCCTCATGTATGTCTTTAAATTAAACTTAGTCTACTGTTTGTTTTTCGCAATTGGGCTCGCCATGGAATAATGTTGTCAGTGTCATCGACTTTGATGTATTGCTTCTCAGTGGATATGTTCTGTGTGTTGGCTTCCTCTGTTGTCGGCGGCATATTGCCTATTGTGGTTTGTTCATTTTGGCCTTTGTTTTCCTTGTTGCTGTTATCACACACTTCTGAATCAGGTGTCTGAGTGTCGGTGCATGGAGAAACCAAATTAATGTTGTCAATTGAAAAGGCTCTGTTCTTTAGCTGCCATGTCTCAGCTATGCGATTATTTTCCTCCACTTTGGGTGTATAAATTGAAGATCTGAAAATGGATAGATTATATATAAATGGTCCTCAAGTATTTAACTATGCAACTTAGAATATAACAAGTACTTTAATTTATTTTCAGTCTCTTCACGCCGCGCAAGCAAATCTCTTTTCCACTGAGGTATTTGTGAGAGCCGCCTATTCTCAGCTTCTTTCGCCATTCGTTCTTCGAATTCTTTCTTAGCACGCTCGGCAGCCTTCTTAGCCATCATTTGGCGCTTCCAATCCGGAATCACGTTGCCAGTTTGATCTTTTTCTGGAATCTGCAAATAAAGCTTTGATAGCGAATGAGGCGCCCGTGAACTTTAAACAAATGTGCTAAATGTCCTTACCTGATCCATATAGTTGTTGGCTGTAAACTGTTTCGAAATTTCCGAATAATTTTCAGAATCAAAATGACCAGCTAATTGTTTTTCCACCTTCATCTTTTTGATGCCTGAAATATCCTTGGATATCTTTAATTCAGCAATTAGGTCGGTCTTAAGATAAACTTCCGATGATGTGGTCAGACACTGCATACTAAGGCTACGTGCTGGCATTTGATACGGCTTAGGCATTTTCTGAGTATCTGTTCGTCGAAGCTATATATGTACATATGTATGTAAGTATATGAATTTACGCAATCGCATCGAAGTTACCTGGACACTGTTAAGGTCCTGAATAGAAATGGCAGAGAGTGGCTGATGTTGTTTACGCGTCGCAGTATCCTGATTGACTATGGACACGTGCGAATTCATTGTTTTCATATTGCTATGCTTCTCATTGTGTTGTGTTACAGGATGAACTGGAAGTGGTGGTGGCGGTGGTGGCTTCGGAGGCTCGAAGCCGGCTGCATGTTGATTAGTCACCTGGATATGCATATAATCCTCACTATCCGTCGATCTGGTTGATAATTCCCAATGAAATCATAATAAAAACTTATTTAGAACTTTTCTTGGTTAGGTTTCAGGATTCATACAAATGTGTATTGGCAAAGTTTTTACAAATTAAAATTTTCTTTCAAGCCATATAGTATGTAGAATTCTTTCTTAGCACGCTCGGCAGCCTTCTTAGCCATCATTTGGCGCTTCCAATCCGGAATCACGTTGCCAGTTTGATCTTTTTCTGGAATCTGCAAATAAAGCTTTGATAGCGAATGAGGCGCCCGTGAACTTTAAACAAATGTGCTAAATGTCCTTACCTGATCCATATAATTGTTGGCTGTAAACTGTTTCGAAATTTCCGAATAATTTTCAGAATCAAAATGACCAGCTAATTGTTTTTCCACCTTCATCTTTTTATGCCTGAAATATCCTTTGATATCTTTAATTCAGCAATTAGGTCGGTCTTAAGATAAACTTCCGATGAAGTGGTCAGACACTGCATACTAAGGCTACGTGCTGGCATTTGATACGGCTTAGGCATTTTCTGAGTATCTGTTCGTCGAAGCTATATATGTATGTATGTAAGTATATGAATTTACGCAATCGAATCGAAGTTACCTGGACACTGTTAAGGTCCTGAATAGAAATGGCAGAGAGTGGCTGATGTTGTTTACGCGTCGCAGTATCCTGATTGACTATGGACACGTGCGAATTCATTGTTTTCATATTGCTATGCTTCTCATTGTGTTGTGTTACAGGATGAACTGGAAGTGGTGGTGGCGGTGGTGGCTTCGGAGGCTCGAAGCCGGCTGCATGTTGATTAGTCACCTGGATATGCATATAATCCTCACTATCCGTCGATCTGGTTGATAATTCCCAATGAAATCATAATAAAAACTTATTTAGAACTTTTCTTGGTTAGGTTTCAGGATTCATACAAATGTGTATTGGCAAAGTTTTTACAAATTAAAATTTTCTTTCAAGCCATATAGTATGTACATATTTCGGCACTTAAACTAACCTACTCCAAGTTGAGTGCGTTCGTAATATCATCGTTATTGCTACTGAACTGAAAGGAACTGTTAACATCATTCGAACATGAGATTGAATGTTCGTTGGCGAAACTCGCATAAATTATGGATAAGCACGCGAATGCTAATACTAAAAACCAAAAGATGGTGAAGTGGACCACTGTATCTGGCATACGATGCACGCACTCATGCAGCACGCGAATAACAACACACAAAGTAGATAATGCCTACAAATTGAATGCACTAATTACTTTATGGTATTCGTTGGCTATTTGGAAGTTAGTGCATGCAATCAAAGACTTTTGTAGGTTAACGCTTTTCGAATATACATACATAAGTGCATGTCGTCGAAGTTTTTGCAAACCGCCCATCGACCACTTTTAAAACCGCCTAAATCGCCGTTGTGGCAAAAATTAAATTTCGTAATCCTGAACTCCAGGCATCGAGATTTATGCATAAAAATCATAAAACCGAAGAGAAAATAACACCTATCATGGCCTTGCCTTCAAAGTAAACCGTTTTTTTGCTCTCCTGTAAATTTGAGTGTCGTAAGATAGGCGGTTTTGCAATTGGTCGATGGGCGGTTTTGCAAAAACATCGACGATATGTACTTATGCATGTAACTAACTAACTAATACATATCTACTAGTTTTGTTCTTCGTGTTGCAGCAGCACCGACTTTAAGTTAGGGAGACCAGGGCGGTAGCAATATTGTTTTACATTACCATCAATTTTAGTTAGTTGGTAAATTTTATCAAAAAACCAATCCCCAAAGGAATAAGTATCGTGACAACTCTATTATCTTAATAGGACCAGTACCTACCCCGGAATATAGTACTTATAGATGATGAGGCAGTTTGCTCAACAACCCACTTCCCACAGCTGGTTTGGAGGGAAGTAGAAACCATCTAAACATAGAAGGAAAAGGTTAAACTATTTCGTCCCCTTTAATTTGAAGGAATCCTAATTTAGATTTCTTCTAAACAAGTATTTAGAAGTAATTCTAAGATAAATTTCATATCCTCATTTGTTGCTATTTAATTCTTTTTTTCCACAACATTTTTCGTATAAAATGGCCTGAAGCTCAATAAAATTGTTGAATATAATTGCTATTTAAACTTTGTTAAAGTCTTTAGAATTTAACTTGAAGGCGGGCTCACCCTTTCATTTTTTATTAAATATTCACAAATATTTTGTAAAATAAAAAAGGCGCCATGTGTAGGAGGTGCTTAGATGGTTATTGTGCGGCAGGCTTGTGTACCGATAGCTGATTGAATATTGGAACTACATAGTCTTACCTTGCAGAGGAAGGGCACGATCGTTTATCACTTATACTCTTTAGATACTCGGATGGTTTTATGAGATGAGTTACGCCGTCTTGCGATTTGTTTGGGAAACTGGGGGGCACGAAAGGCAGCACTAACTGCTTATTAACTAAATTCGGGCCGCCCGGGCGAGTACAATGTGCTCCAGGTGGTAGACCAATATTCGAATTATTGTATCCGTATTGTGCCTGCTGCAGTTCATAGTGGTCCTCGGCTGAAGATCCATAAGCTTGAGATTGTTGATAGCCTTGATGCAGCTGCCTTTGTTGGATATCTGCTTGATGTAAATGGTAGTTTTGCGACTGCGTTCTGCCTTCTTGTTGGTCATTACAAACGTGATAGCTTTCACAAGCAATGTTGCCATTGTTGAAACTGCCGATTCGGACTGTTGATAATTGCTTATTTCGGCATTAGATGCATTACAACCACCAACGGGAGTAGTCGCAGGGGGTTGTTGTGCACTTGAATTTCCACCGCCATTAAGAAGCTTAGCTTTCTTGTTTGCTGTAAAAGTAATGTATTGCATAATTAAATTATAAATTATTTATAGTAATATACCGATTAGGGAGTTCACAAAGGTGTACATATATTGTCGTATAGTTGTACATATATATGTCGTAAATTTTAAACGACTAAAAATATATGAGGGGTGTTCGCAAGGTACCATAAAAATCATAATACGTATTTTCACAGTGTCAAAAATATTTAGTTGGTTGTGGCGTCAAGGCTTCCATGGTGGAATTATACAAGGTGTTGTACGTAGTGACAGCTCATGTCGACAGCTCCCTTACAAAAGGTTGTAATATGGAAGCACGAGAGAAACGGGAAGAAAAAAAGCCCGCTTTGCGAAGTAGTACGAAATTTGGTACTCTTTCATATCAAATTTTGCATATAAATAGTAACAAACGGTATATTATGATAAGCTAAATTTGCGAAAGTAGTATATATTACGTAGCACTTATGCAATAAATGGTAATTTTTTATTAACACTTCTTAATAGTCAAATTCAACCGCTTGTCTAATTCCAATATATAGATGATTGATATAACTTACAAAAATTTCGCCATCAAAAAATTAGTGGTGACCCCGAGTCGTTACAACTTGACGGAGTCGACAAAAGGGCGCATCGACGGATGGGGAAAATATTTCATCGAACAAAATGCCAACTAAAGATGTGGAGCTTGTATCGCAATGCAAGCTGCGACCGTTCTGAACTGAGATGCCAAACAAATGGTTTCTACAAATTGAGGCCACCTTTCAGTCGTACAAGACCACATCTTATGTCCGGAAATATAATCGGGTCCTCTCAGCAATTAGCAGCGATGCTTTAAAGGAAGCTGCGGATGTTTTAAAAGCCGTACCAGCTCAAGACCGATATATTAACCTCAAAAGTCAACTACTGTCACGTTTTACTGATTAAGCCGACCCACATAGGGTATTTGGCTTATTTTAGGCCTTTGGAGAATACACAAAGCCAATGTTTTTTGTCGAATTAATGATTTTAATTTTTAATTTAATTTTGTTAACGAAGAAGAATAAAGTAAATGTCAAAGAATTGTTCAGTGATTGCAAATCAGTTTTGGAATAGGGAATGAGGTAGTTTAGTTTTTTTAAAGGCGGTAAAATGTAGTTTTTTCAAGATGGAAACACCGATTTTGCTAAGGGAGCCAAGATGGCAGATTAGAGCGAGAACGCTGTCAATATCCAACACCTTGTATTATTCCACCATGAAGGCTTCTAAATATTTATTTGAGCTTTTAAAGTTTACGACATACACAATAATGCGACAGTATACAACACCTTGCGTTTCTACCAAAAAAATTCGCATTTTTCAGGAGACACGATTCATATTTTCTATTTACTCTCAAAAACGGGTGAAAATATATGCATGTACATACATAAAATCTGTGGACTTTTGACAAAACAACTTCTCTCGAGTGTGGTCATTTTCTGTTCATAGCAGTAATTCATTGAGTTCTCGAATGTTATCTTTATGCTTACTCATTAAGTCCAAGATGATATCGTCGCTGGAATAGATAAACAGTGTAAATGCCATATACACTATTTATTATACGATAATCGTACCATTGGGTAGACAATCCTTAGAAAAATCTTTAGTTTTCTTAAATATCTTTTTGGATAACGAACTTATTCACGAAAAACGAAATTTTATAATAACAGTGTTGGTACTACAATTGTTCACAAA